ATCAGGATCCATGCTGTTCGCTTACCAACTCTATTACAAGTAGAGAAACTGATAGCGAACAGCATGTATCCTGATCAGACTGCGCAGATGCGCAGGCTTGTCTGGATCCATGCTGGTCGCAAACCCATTATGTTGGTTTGGTCGTGACGCGACTCTTATATAGTTTACTGGTGGATTAAAGCCTTTTATTGCTTACAAATATATGTCTACCTCAATACATATATAACCAAAGCTAGTTAGAACAACATTGTATGAAGTATTGCATGTCTCGTTATGTATAATAGTCAGTTGAATGAAAAGTAATATATGCAGTGCAATCGAGAACAAAAAATGTATATCAAATACTAAACATTGATTTATTAAGACAGGCTTTACAGTACTTACACATTGAATAATGTTTGTTATTAGGTAAGTTTTTGAGATTGAAACTGAAATCCCATCACAAAACAATACACCAAACCATCGTTTTTAAAGTCAGAACAATCAGAATGTCATAAACTATATCTATTTGGAAGTAAATAAAATAAGACTCTTTTCACATTGTTAAGTTATTGTGTATACTTGTTGAATATTTGCAAAGATATCATGCTTCTTATAGTTATGCTTTAATGTGTTACAGAATGTATCATTTTGATACAGTTTTAAGTATTTGATGAACTATTTTAGATTTAAATTTACAGTTTAAGCTTCTTTAGCATGTCTTATTTTTTAATTCTTGCCTTTTATATAGATATATCTGTGATTATTATTATTATTAGGTAAGGATGATTGAACAATGAATATTTGGTACCTAGCTCTGTGCTGGAAGCCCTGTTGTCTAAACCAGTAGAATTATTGGTATAAAATGATAACAGATCTTGATATTAGGGCTTCTTACAATCAGTTTGGAGGTAAAAACATTCGGTATAAAATAATCAACTGACAAAGTGATAAAAAAATTCTTAAAAATTAATGATAATCATTGCTTATGTGTAGAATTAACTTGAGAAAAGGTGCTGCTTTTATTAAAGTTGTTCAAATATGTTGCAACATCTTGTATAAAAAAGTTTAATTGAAGGATGCAAAAATCGTTACCATGCTTATAAAAATTATAGTTAGGGGCAGTATGTTTTAGTATTTACATTGTATGAAATGAAAAGTTAAAAATCATATTGGAACTCAATGAATATCTTATCATCGGCTTTTAAGTATGTATGTACAAAGTACCTTTGTTGATCATTTTTGATATTTCAAAATACAACCAATATATTCACTCATGGTAGGTCATAAAACCAATATTGTTATTGATGTTAGGTCATATATGATTACCTTGATGTTGGTTCATATTTAATTACCTTGATGTTGGGTCATATATAATTACCTTGATGTTAGGTCATATATAATTACCTTGATGTCGGGTCATATTTAATTACCTTGATGTTAGGTCATATATAATTACCTTGATGTCGGGTCATATATAATTACCTTGATGTCGGGTCATATTTAATTACCTTGATGTTGGGTCATATTACTGATATTTTCACTGATAGTTGGTAACATAACCATCATGTTTGTGAAGTTGGTTATATATATAACAGATATTTTCACTGAGTGTAGGTTATATAACAAATTACACTGTTTGGATATATAACTGATAATTTTACTGATGGTATGTCATATATCCAATATTTTCACCTTTGAAACAATATAACTGATATTAAACCAATGTTGAATCATTTAACCAAAATGTTCACTGATTTGTCTTCCAGGGCTTTATGTAATATAAATGAGAATTACAAGTATAAAACTTTATATTCATTTTAAGCAGTCTCTGTCACAGTTTTTATTGTACAGCTGGTGTACAGGCTAGCCCCTGTTTTTTTAAACTCTAGTTAATAATATACTTTTAAAAAAAATTTCTTATTTCATCGGTACTTTTTAACTTTAATTTGGTTGCAAAAAATATTAAAATTAGATATATTTTACATGTTTTGACCTTTATATTTTCATTTCTATTTTTTATATTATAAAAGGTGAAAGGTTTTTAAGCCAATTTTTGTTTAGTTACAATTTCTCTTGTGTTTGCAATAATGCCCAAATAACAAATTTACTCGTATAAAAAAATGCTTTTGTACATAACTGTACTTGTACTTTTCTATTGAAAATGTGTCAAATTTCAATCATATTCACACACATGCACAGTGCGTTACTTGGAGAGCAGGTTTTATTTACCCGAACTCTGTCACACTGTCTGTCAGGAATAAGAATAGAGCATGCTCATTGATCAGCTCATTTTTTGTGGGGTTTACAAATTGTGATGACAGATAAAGGGATAACAATAGAAAAGACATATCCAGGTGCTCGTTCATTGGTTACTTCTTTCTGGGTTGACAATGTGTGTATGATTCAAAAGAGAAAGAAATTCAAAACACTTGGCAACCTGATTTTTATTCTGGGGTTATGTCCCCTTGTACAAATCAGATAGCCTGGTGTTTTGATCCTCTTTCTTGTACTTGATGGATTTTAAAATAAAGATGAAAACTTTTGTATTTAGTCCTTTTGAAAAGCTTCTGTGTGACTGACTTGACATTAATTATTTGCAGGTAAATGTCATAAAAATATTGTTACTGGTTGTTATTGATAGGGCATTTTTTGTTAAGTTTGATATTCATGTAATAAATCATGGTGTAAGTTGAGACTGTACTGATGCTTGTATATGACTTGTTTTGTTGTGTGGAATTTTGCCTATACATACATTGTATTATATGCATATGTATTTGTTTGTTTGCATGTACCAAATCCATTATCAATTAAATATGAAGCTGAATTAATTCCATGTTTGTGTTCTATTTTAAATTATCATGTGAATTGTCATAAAATGAAGGGGATGACAAGAAGTGTTACTGTCATCCCTGTTCGTAAGTGTTCAAAAAAGTGTATAATTCATTTCCTGTTCATTTCGTGCATAATTGGAGTTCAGAATACGTAAATTTGTTGACGTGTCACTTGCAAGTTATATCCCTAAGTCAAATTTCAAAGTCACAGAAACTGTACTTGTCATATAAATATGAGATTGTACCCAGTCTGTTACTTCTTCAAGTATAAAATGTAATTCAATATATACTGGTACATATGACTTTCATCAATGGATGATTCATAACCAAACTTAGCACTCCTATCTTGTAGACCTTATGATATGTGATTGCTGCCCTACTGTTTGAAAGATTTGCTGCTGTCTATTGCAACAAAAACAATATTGCCACGTTTTACTGCCATTCAGAGAAAATAATTAGCAGTCTTACTTCTAAATTAAATTAGCAGTCTTACTTCCGCCATTAAATAGAACGAATTACAGTCTTACTTCCATTAAATAGAACAATTTGTCTTATTTCAATTAAAATAGAACAATTTACAGCCTTACTTCCATTTAATAAAACAATTTGCAGTCTTACATCGATTACATAGAACAATTTATAGTCTTACATCCATTAAATAGAACAATTTACAGTCTTACTTCCATTTAATAGAACAATTTACAATCTTACTTCCATTAAAATAGAACAATTTGCAGTCTTACTGTCCTTAAACGAGAACAAGTTGGAGCCTTTACTGTCCATTAACATAGAATTAATTTGCACCTCATTAACTTAGAACACCATGGAATTATACAAGCTTCTAATAACACTTCCTGGTGTGTGGGGACATGTAGTGAGAGCATACTGTGCCGTTATTTACAAATTCGTTATCATCGCCTCCTTAACCACAAAAAACTTCACATGTATTTATACTTAGTTTGTCCTTTAAAGGGCCATTTAAAATGATGCAGAAGTAGGTTTGAGATATCCGGTCCTTTCTTGCAGAATCCTGCTATGTTGTATATCATGTAGTTATTTGTATTTTGCCATTTTATTTGTTGATGTGATTTTATTCCAATTTTAACATGATAACATAAATAACTATATATTTGACTTTAAAATTGTTCGGTCAACAGGTCAAGATCACGGAGACAGAGGAAAAATCCTTTTGAAAACCTTGGTAGGGGTATTGCTCATGGCAACATGATGGTCCCTTTTTATTTTAAGGTTGAAACTGGATGAGGACATTGCTCACTGACCCCTATTGAAAGCCATAGTGACACTTTAACAGTTAGAAAATCCGACGATCAACAACTCGAGAATGTACAAGCCTAGATTCATTGCCAGTGACAAGTTGAGGACTTGTCCATTAGGCCAATAATCTAAGAAGAAACAAGAAGAAACTCCGTAGAGACAAATTGATGATCCTTGTTATAAGTCAAAGTCACAGTGGACACTCCCCAATACTGATCGCTTCTTTTTACCTGTATATTTTCTTACGACAGCATCAATGGTTTGTCAGAAAAGATCAAGTAAAATCGATACTGAAAAACGTTTTAAGCGTTTGCATAGCCCGGTCCCGGACCATTCTGTTTGAAACATAATGAAAGCACAGACTTGGGTGTATAATGCTTCAATACGCGGAGTTCTTGTTTTTGTATCCATGCAGCGGATAATTAAAGTCGAGTGTAATTCCTAACAGGAAAATTTAGTTATACTTCAATTTAAAGTTTCACATTGTGCGCCATAATATACAACAAACATTAGAAACGCTAACATTATTAAAACACCTGACCCTTACATTTGAGGTCACAAAAGAGACAAAGTGATAAGTAACGGGACAACTGGTTCAAATGTTTTTTTCCATTCAAAGTGTGGCAATACTTGAGATCCAGTTGCCGACCTTTTCACCTCAAAACTTCAAGGACGTTCTTCTCGTAACCCTCACATACTTTCTTTCCCTAAAACCTCGCTGACCCCCTTCCCACTCAACCTGAATGTTTATCCACATGAATACCTCCGGTTATTTTTTAATGTTTATCGTTTAGAATTCGGGACAATCACGTGTACTTTTCCATCAATTGTTTGTACAATATGTCTCTAGCTATAACTTCAGTGACTTTATTTAAGCTATACCAGCTTTATAAAAGTAAAACAAAGACAACAAACGATCTAATTTTATTTATAAATTGGAAAATATAGGATTCAAAGTCAACACTTATAAAAAATATTTTAAATAATACAAATTTAAGAATAAATTTTAAAGTTTGAATATAGAGATCTATTTACACATTTGTTTAACAAATGACAATAATAAGGTAATTTCAGGGCTCATTCAAATACTATTTAAATATTAGACAATTAACATTAACAATCACTATATACATCAGTGACATTTTGAGAATAAATTCAACATTTCCATTAAAATAAAGTCAGTATAGGGATAATGTTCGTATAAATAATCAGTAAATTATAACAAAAAATAACAAGAACAAAAAAAAAGTTAGTGGTTTTATGAACAATCCTAATTTCATACAGGTAAAACAAATTCTAGTTTCAAGGAAAAAAAGGTAGTCTTAAATAAAATACCAAAGAAATAAATAATCCTATGTTTAGCAAAGATTGAACCATCCCTTCTTCTCGTATGCCCTTGTCCATATACCCATCCCACGAAGAAAATTTAATATAATAAAATCAAGACTTGAAGAAAAAAAATATAGCTAGACAGTATCAGTCTGTGAGATAGTTTCAGTTATTGTGAAAATATAAATTATTCTTGTAATATGTTATGAAATTATGCCTGAAACACCTATTTTACAAGTTGATGATTTCCTGGAATAACTATAAAAAGACAAAGTGATATATACATTGTATAATTCAAAAATAATAAGTTCTGCATTTATGTAAATAACTGATTTTATGTACACGGGTACTAGAGTAACAAAATAAAAAAACAACTCATTGGTCAAATTGAGGTAGACAGGTGGAATTAATGGGTGAAGTGTAAAATAGTTGAGCAACTAGGTAAAATAATGTATTAAGGTAGGTATGGTCAGTTCTCGGTGGCTGCATGGTCAACAATAAAACACATCACATCATAACACAAAACACGAAATACAAGTCAACAAAGTTCAGACGGGAATGTTTATCCAATCCAAGATCTCCGGACATTTAACTACATAAACATGAATCTGGGCACCGGCACTTGGTTCCAACTCATTTGTCATTATATTGAAGACATGTCATATAACTGATTGTCATTTATATGGAAAATCATCGATAAAATGACAGTTGTATTGAAACCCGAGTGCCTATGACTAAAACGTCCTACTTGCCCATCAAGTTATAATATCAACAATAGCGTATCTACTCGTAAGAGTGACTGTGTACGTATGCACAAAAAGTTATCTTGTCAAGTTAGCAAATACGAACTCTTTTAATTCAAATGTAGGAGCCAAGGGTAACACACAAAAGCGATTTCTAAAAAGGGTGTTTTTTTATTTTAGTACTTGGTTTTAAATTTTCACTTAAGACAGGTAATATAGGTTTTAAATGGAAAAGGATTGAACATAGCATGGGAAAAATCTTAAAACATGTACTCATTTGCTGTCATGTTAAGTGACAAAAGGTAAAAAACTTGAAAACAAAAACAAAAATCACACTAAAGGATGGATCAAGATAAGGTACATTCCATTGTGAAGATACGTCAAATCTGGGCTCATTCAACTTCGGGTTGCATTCCATTCCAAGAATATGTGAATTCTGGGTACAATCGATTTGGGGTGCATTCCATTCAGCGCATACGCCATGTTTTGGTTGTGTAAATTGTTTATGATAGCTCTATATCCGGAAAGAAACGCTATGGTGGAAAACCTAATACACGTTCAATGCTGTCATGTTACCACTTTTTCTCTAAAATAGAAAAGTAATTTTACAATTAACGGTAAGTTTAAAACGAAAAATAATGGACCCGAATTGACCTTGCTTTTCAAAGACCAGAGAAGAAGTACAGTGTATCGATGATTTTAAACTGTAAAAATAATGAAAATACAAGTATATTACTTTTTCTTTTAAAAGTAGTCAAAAAATGTTGAAAAAGTTAATCAGGATACCAATTTGTACTCGTGAATGTTCAAAATTAATACTACATGTATATGATAAATAAACTTCTTTCATTGAGAATAAACCATAAACTTTGAGAAAGAGATTTAAGATATAATAAAATAAATGAAAAAAAAACGAAAAAAAAACAACAAAAAAACTTAAAAATTTATAACAAAAATGGTCTTAAATGATGGCCAGTATAAATGGTTATTTAAAGCTTAGAACAATCTACACAGATGCATTGCCATGTAATAAGGATGTATCACTTGAGGTCAAATGTACCACAGGTAAAGGGGGGGGGGTATGCATTGGGGATACTTGGTCAAAAAGGTCCACTATTTCATGTAAAAAACATTGATAAAATCTCCAGGGAAAATTCGCCTACAATAACATACATACAGACAAGTTCTAAACGGTCACTTATAAATAATTAGCCGACTACATTAAAAAGTTTTCAAATCTTTGCTTACAAAACATTCTTTTGTTATATTTCAAACATGTTCACTGTGATAATCAGAATTTTTGTTCTGTACAAAATATTCAGGAAAAAAAAAGAGAATTACATGTGACCGTTTAAAACAATTTAACGTTTTTCGATATCATCATTGCACGTGAAAGATATTTTAAACATTTGAAATACTAGTGTTAAAGTACTACATGTACAATAGAGCCATATTTTACATATAAAAGCATTACCATGTCGACAATTTTAACAGTTAATCAAACATTTTCTAACAACGCTAAGCTGCGACAACAACGCTTTTTTCTTTATTAGACGACTATTTTTATATTAGTGTAACTAATTACAATAAGTATTTGATTTATTAATAATGACTAACTACTTTACTAATATTATATAACTCTAATACATAACGACATTAAAGCCGCGTCACGACAAAACCAACATAATGGGTTTGCGACCAGCATGGATCCAGACCAGCCTGCGCATCCGCGCAGTCTGATCAGGATCCATGCTATTCGCTTACAAACGCTATAACAAGTAGAAAAACTGATAGCGAACAGCATGGATCCTGATCAGACTGTGCGGATGCGCAGGCTGGTCTGGATCCATGCTGGTCGCAAACCCTTTATGTTGGTTTTGTCGTGACGCGGCTCATTTCATTTCTAAAAAAGACATCGTTGTACCATACACACACTTATAACCAGGTACGCCATTACAAAAGCTACTCATAACTAGCAAACGCTTCAGTTGGTGAGAAATTCATTCAATTAAAAAAGCGAAATCGCACATATGACATGCCATATCTTTTCGCTAAGCAATACAAACTTATTCAACAAACAGAATGCCACTCGTCTGCATTTTATTCGGGGTATTTCAAAAGAACATACTTTTTAACTTGGGAGGATTTTTTTTAACAAAAAGATTTCACACAATTGTTAATAATGTATGGTTCCAGACAAAGTCAATGTCAATCTGCGTTCTATTCTACCCGATTCCATAAACAAACCATACATACTTTCTTCAAATAGATAAATTTACCTACGTACCTAGAAATAGAGCCGCGCGCTTTTCGCTTACAACCTGCTTGCTTTAATAATTAGTAGTTCTTTATTCATTGACAATAATTATACTCCGTGTTTAAATCTGTAAAAAGCTTGTACGCAAAGCAGCAGTTAATGGTTAAAACAATAGGCATGATGTGTTGTTATTTTAAATCTGCATTTATATTTTAAACAATTCATAATATTTTTTGATAAACACAGCCCTTGTTGCTATTAATAAACACATTTATTTATGTAAAATGAACGCTGCCCGTGCACGAATTCAACTAAAGGCACTAGAGACTATCCTGATATATTATTACATGGTAGTAGAAAATTAGAACTTTTCCAATACACTCCTCAATTGCTACAAATTTTAGTACAGCATTAGTTTGCTTTAGAACTCTTTCTCTGTTGTTAAGCAGGTACATGTACTAATATCACTAAGTTCATGTTCTAAAATTATAAATTTCATTGTCTAGCAAATGTACTAATAAGTCGTTGCAATATATACTTGTACTTATGGCAATAGAAGTTGAAATAGTACGACATCAAAGCATGGAGAAATAACAGCAAAACATCAAGCTAAACTCGGTATCAGCTGAAAGCGTACTGTGCTGACTTATATCTAGGATATACTATTTACCGCTGGTCTATATTTGGAATATACATGTACCACACAGTTCTGGCTTATATTTATGATATATCATACTGCGCCGGTCTATATATAAGATATATCATAAAATACTGGCATAAACGCATCTAGAATATATCGTAGAGTGCTGGCCTACTTCTATCTTCAAAGCTGAAAACAAGCACTAAGTGTAATAGAATGTACTAATTATCAGATTTAAAGCGTTTATATACAGCAATAATCTAAAATGGCTGAACTGACTGCAGATAGTAATCAGTTGAACTATAAGTATTAGAATGAGGCGTACTGCAAATTTTCTTATGTCCTTTCTTCCAAGCTGTTTTCTGACATACTGTCGAACAATACCACGCCCTGTGACACTTTCCACAGCCTGAAATTTAAATGTCATCCCCGGAATAAATAAACATGGAAAAAATCATACACTCTATGTTTTAGGACAAGGGATATCTTTTTTAATTCTAACAGTCAATGCATTTGACTTTATGATATATGTGCTTTGAAATATGATAAATTAATGAAATACTTGCGGTTGCTATAATAGTATATATATTAAATATGGTATAAAGCTAACTACAGCAGATATAAAAAACAACACTTTTGGGTGTCCAATATTTCGAAGACATACAGATGTGCACTTTCTTACAGAGAAATTTGGTATACATGTAATTAATATAGTGGCGTTTATGGTATCAAAATTTGCAAATATGTATTGACTACATGGTGGTTTATACATTTAATTGAATTTTGATTATCACCAGAACTTGGTTACGCGTAAACAGCTCTGCGATGAGGAATTGTGCCTTTTGTAAATGCGTTATTGCTTTTTAGATACATGGATTTTTAATGGAACAAGGAACAGCCAAACTCCATACACTCGAACACTTTGGTTGATCTATAGATGACGTGAACGCATCATATACTATATAGTATTTAATAACAGTCTATAACGAGACAAAAAAAGCGTTAATATCACAATTCTGCAACTTTTATTTTTCAGCCATCCTTTTTATTACATGAATCCAAAATTCTGATAATAATCAAATTTCCAATACAAAATAAAACTGTTGTAAGGTCAATACATTTCTGAAAATTGTAATAACAAATTCGCTTACAGTTTGCTCATGAATGTATACAGAATTTCCAAGTAACCAAGTGCACACTTTCTTTTGCAAATGAGTAAACAATACTTTTGTTTATTCAAAATATCATTTTTTATTTTTATTATTTTATTTTAAGGCAGTTTCTAGTATTCACTATAAGAAACAACAACAAACAAGAGGGCCATGAAATCGCTCACCTGTATATAGGCCCCTGGGCCAATGCCAATTTTAAACCAGGGACTTTTATTTGAACAAACTTGGTAGACAGCCATTAGAAGATGTTGAACATGATAAATATCTAAGCTTTAACTCTTTGGGGGTTTTTATAAGAAGATTTTTAAAAGTTTTTACTATATACATATAGGAAAAAAAACAATGACCCCCTCCCCACCAGGGGCCAATTTTGACCCCAGGGCTTTTATTTATTCAAACTTGGTAGACACTAACTAGAAAATATTACATGCTTAGTATCAAAACTCTAGCTCTTTTGGTTTTTCAAAAGAAGTTTTTTTAAGTTTTTACTCTATACAAAATAACGAAAATCAATGACCCCCTGGGGCGGGGCCAATTTTTACCCCATTGCTTTTATTTGAACAAACTTGGTAGACATTCACTAGAAGATGTTTCATGCTTAATATCTAAGCTCTAGCTATTTGGGTTTTTTTAAAAGAAGATTTTTTAAGTTTTTGCTATATACAAATAAGGAAAATAAATGATCCCTCGGGGCGGGGCCAATTTTGACCCCAGGGCATTGATTTAAAGAAACTTGGTAGACACTGACTAGGTCATGTTTCCTGCTAAATATTTAAGCTCTAGCTCTTGCGGTTTTCTAAAAGAAAATATTTTAAGTTTTTACTATATACAAATAAGGAAAATCAATGACCCCCCGGGGTCGGGGCAATTTTCACCCCAGGGTATTTATTTGAACAAACTTGGAAGACACCCACTAGAAGATGTTTCATGCTTAATATTTAAGCTCTAGCTATTTGGAGTTTTTAAAAGATTTTTTTAAAGTTTTTTTACTATATAGTTGACTACCAAAGGAACATTCCTGTGAAGTTTGGATGAAATTGGTTTAGTGGTTTATGAGGAGATGTCGTTTGAAGTAAAAGTTTACGGACGATGGACGGACAACGGACTGACGCACGAACGCCGGACGAAAAGCGATCACAAAAGCTCACCATGTCACTTTGTGACAGGTGAGCTAAAAACCCATCAGGATTTTATTATTCACAAATGTTAAGTGCGGACTAGTAGAGTTATATGTACAAAAAGCACACTTACCTGGATATTTTTCTTTTTTGTCTGTCTTTGCTTCCTTTCCACATTCTGTACACAATTCAGGACCTTCTCCTTCAAACTTACATCTCGTACACTGACACCAAAAGTTGTAACCACTAGATTTAAAATAAACATGGTAAACAAGTTAAAATATGTTCTTAATTAATTATATATAATAGTTGCAACTTTCTTTTCGTATGTTTCACAGGGCGAGAAAAATGTGCAGCCTGGCCGGGACTCGAACCCAGCACATTCGGAATACCGTATCGCGGCTCTACCGCTAACCGGCCGCTTCGCACTATCTCTCCTAATAATCTCCCCCATAATATTGGTGATACATAACTAGTGATTGTTTTTAAATATTATTATTTACTTATGATTAGTTTGAAATTTATTACTTAGTGATTATTTTAACGATATTTTATACGATATAAGTTCAAATTAAACTTTTTAAAAAACTTATCAAGTATAATATCATTAAATAGGATTCCGCCCTTTCAGAGACTGAGTGTACGGACCCCGGACATGTCACCAATTATGCGAATTCCCCTTAAATTGAAAACGGCCATTATAACATATACATTACCTTTCATTTTTCATAAAATATACTACCGTTTTTCACGAAAACATATCAGAATAAAAGTAAAGAAAAGAATCATTTCAAAACCAAATATTAAATGAACAAATATAAAAATTAGACAGAGCATTAACAAATTTGAGTTAAAACTGTACAGTAATTAAAAACAGTTACAAATAGGAGATAGTATTATATCAAAGTTTTCCTCATAAAAAATGAATCAAAAGCTAAACCGGAAAAGCCACGCCCTCCTCTCTCTTTTGGGCATTTTTGTGTTGATATAGGTTGTGTAAAGTTCCTCTCCCGCTTGGATTGATTTCTTAGCTCTGACCAAAACTCCAGGAACGCCGTCTAGAACCTGAAATTACCATATCCGATCTTTATGCGTGTAATTAAAGATAGAATGAATCAACTTACATTGTAAAGGTTTCAATTTTGTTTCAAGGAACAAATGATCTTTTTCTAACACAGTAACGATATAAGTTTTAATTAAATTGCTTCAACATATTGTTAATAGTCAAACTTAAACCCAACAAATGTTAAAATAATTGTTCCGACTTTCGTCTTCTTTATTCATTCAAAAATTGATTAGGTGAAAAATTATGTATTTCTTAGGCCTGGTTACAGAGGCACCTTGATGGGTTACGGAAAGTACCCAAATATGCCGATTTTTATGTCTTCATTATACATGGTTTCCCTTAATGTCACGATAGTTGTTTAGATATGCCGAATATTTAGTACCAAAGCTTGATGTGGTTTATAACCCTGCTCAAACCTTACCTCGACGTTGTTATCACATGAATGATTCAAGCAAGCATGAAGCGGGAACATTCCAGCAAACATAGCGTCATCCGGGTCATTCAAGGTGTGCATACGAACTAGTTCTCTTTGAAAATAAATTTACATGTAATAAATTAAATAACAACAGCACAGAACTGTTCGAATCAAAATTATGTATATGTGCAAGATCAGTTAGCAATTATTGATTCAGTTATACATATTTGAAATAAGGTAAACCTCTTTTGTAGACATGTCTATAAATTTTATACGGAATTAATATTGACATATTCATTTAGAAATGAGAACGTGTTATATTTTTTGTGACATGCTACAGGTTCACGTATTCTATCTGAATGCCCATTTGACCAGAAAGATGTAGCAAAATGAAAAAAATCGAGGAATGTAAAAGACCTTTTATGTAATGTCTTTTAACACTAAGACGACAAAATGTTAATAATAAACGGTTATTGTAAATTGTTAAACAACATACATGTCCCAACAATGTTATTCAAAAAGCTTAATATATAGTCAAAACATTGAAGTTACCCCCTTGGATCTTGAGACACATTGTTTAGGAACACATTAAACGGAGGGGAGGGATCCGAGAATGCCTGAACATTGCACGTGGCTTGGAAGTACCGCCCATCAAATTCTTTATTGTTAATCTTCATACGCTGATTGACCGGTAGATACTCGTTGTCAAACACTTCTTGCATAACGGTGACCATCTTTGGTATCACAGCAGCGTTACTTGCATTTCCGTAAGCAATAAACCTTCAAAATAAAATAACTGAATAACTAATGTTTCTAAATCTGTATTATTTAAATGTAATACTTGCAAGTCCCTTAACATGTCAAATGCTGGCATTAAAGGTAGGTCTTGTCAATGATCTACAACATGAAAATCAAAGTGCAAACCTAATGTTCTCTTACACTGTTCAATGTGAATGTATATCTAAACTTTAAGTGACAGCTTTTTATGATTGTTTAATTGTTAAAGTAAGTAATTGAAAATAATTTTGATATACATACTTCCTGTATGGCGACTTTGCCATGGTCCAATTGGCAGCTGTGGGTTTATCCCTCCCTTCTTGTGCAGCCAGAGAGTTTGCCATACAAATAATTCTTGCCCAAATATTAGCTAGGACAAATGGACTAAATGACGCGTTCCAAACTCCTCTATAACATCGCTGATCTGTGCTCAGTGTTTTGTATTGTTCGCAAATTTCATGCAGTTTTTCAACGGCTGGATTCACACTTACACACAACACTTGATGATACATGGCCCAACTTTCTTCTCTACATTCTACGCTGCAATAAATTGCTTTTTGTCCACATTGTGTGCATTCAATACGCGGTCTGATTGGCCAATACTTATTGACTAATTTCTTCAGCTCTGGGCTTTTCGCAAGAACTTCCTTCCCGAAATATTCCACGGGGAGCATTAGACATTTAGCGCAGTGTAAGCAAGCAGCCACGTGTTGTGTATCTAATGTTTGTGCAAGCACAGCAGGTTTGTCTCTGAAACAATTTTCTCCAGGAGAAATATTTTCTGATGCCACAATAGCTCTACCAAATTGTGTGAAAACTACATTTACCTGCAATATTGGAAACAAAAGTTCACAAGAATATACCTCCAAAACAGTCCAAAATATTTATATAACGTTTTTGAATTGCAAATTTTCCTGGTAGCAGACGAAAGAGGAGATTTAAATCATTACCGTATAACAATATTTCAATAATTATTACCACAGTGTCAACGATTAAACGCCGTACCCCTTGACATTTGAAAATTCACAGAATTGTTATTTGATAGCATATTGTATTGCTTTTTTAACTGTATATAGAGGACATGTCACGATATTTGACACTTTAAAAATTTTGCACGTCAATTAAAGAATATGAACAGTAGAGTCTTTTTAACAACCCTCGTACATAGCTTTGTATTTTTTGTTAGGCTTTACTTTGTACCAACACAAAAGCGGTCATATGGCGACTATTCAGGTTTACTGGTACCCCTCCGTACACATCATTTCAGGCATGAAAAGGTACCTGATTAGAACAACCAATCAAGCAATTCAGCAAAGCAAGCTGGATAGCTATCTCACATGGAAGTGTCCAAAGTCCTTGGAGGGATTTGAACCAAAAGCGGTAAGGGGCAAGTGGTTTGAAGTCGGCTATAAAATGATTTATAAAATTGTCACTGAAAAAAACTAATGAATGCAAGCATGGAAAGTGTACAATAAATTTGGACCAATTTTCTAACTTTTTTAACATACCTTGGTTCCGTCTGTTAGAGGACCATACAATCTCTTTACTCGGATATTCTGAAACAGTAGCGGCATTTCTTTATCATTCTTGTCCAACTTACATCCTTGTCGTAGCCATGCCTCCGCGTGAACCGGAAGGTTTAGAGCGTCCAAAATTTGACCTGGTAAACAAAAATATTTACTGCTTATTAAAAATGTAATGGCTTTCAGTCAGATATCATATAAAGAAATATTGCAGATTTTATGTGAGTTACATTCTCGTTTAAGTGCAAAACATTACAAGTATAAGCTAAAGTTTTATATTTTCATTAGGGTTGGCAATATTTTAATTCTAGGTTTAAAGCTCGCTTGTTTACTGATCATCTAATGTGACATGCTAACTAATATGACATAAAGACCTCCGAGTTTCCAGTGTTGTACAGGCCTGAAATCTCCAGGTATACACTGACAATGTTGATACGCCTCCTTGTAGCGGCCCATCTCGTACAACAACGAGGCGATCTCTCCACGCAGGGTAAAATTAGCAGCATCATACTTCATTGCTTCCTTTAAAATGTAAAAATTAGTAATTGTATAAAGTTCACAGAGCAATGCATACAAATCAAATAGCTATTATATGTGCCTTATTTTGTAGTATTCATCTAGTAAAATGTTACGTTCAATTATGTGAAATGAAACATCCGAAAAGTTTTCCGGGTATCACAATTCCTTATAGAGATATGACGGACAGTGCTGAAATTTTAGTGATATTTATAAATCCGTCAAATATAATCATGCAATTTTTCCCCATGTTCTTTAAAGTGATATTCGATAGGAAAATGGAACTACATTATTTCAAATTAAACAGATTTTGCTCTTTCAAAATACATATTACATCAAAGTAACATAATTTAATGCAAACCTTCATTTTCTGCAATGCCTGATCATCATTTCCAGCCTTTCTAAGCTGAAGTGCTGCGCCATATTCCTTTACCGCCATCTTTGGATCTTGCATGAAGACTTCAAATGGTGGAAACTCTGTCATTCCCCACTTCTGCATAATCTCTTTCTCTAAGACTTCTAGTTCACTGTCACCAGGATATGAATCTTGTGAACTCATTTTAACTGCGTCATAAGTTTTCTCCTCAATATAGTTAGCAGACGACATAATTTCAACTTGCATATCTTTTAAACCTTTCTTCAGTTCACTGTCATTTGTATCAATGTCCAAGCCAAGTCTAAATGTTGCTAGAGCCTCTTCAAATTTACCAAGCTTTGATAAAGCACATCCCCACAGAGCGTACCCGGATGTTGATTTGGGATTCAGTTCTAACAAGCGTTTTGCGTCTACAATGGCGTCTTGATATTGTTTCATTTCATGTCTGCATGACGCACGCATCCTATAGGCGTCTAGTTTGTCCTCGTTATTGTCTGCCTTTATTACGGCTGTCAAATGTTCTTCGGCTTGTTTGAAGTTACCTTTCTCAAACTCGAACGAACCTCGTTCTAAGAAATCACTCGTAGACATGGCTACTTCTCAGATCTGAAATGTATTTTTTCACAATACATTTATTCACTTAATAAAACACATACCGTAGTCACTTTTTTAATATAAGTACAAAGTGCACAACAATATCTGCGATTCAGACAGGATTTTCGTAAATATCTTTTAAATACTGACTAGATTTATTTCAAATAAAGTGCATAATCCCCTTCATAGAAAGTTTGTTCATTGGCTCTTACAATAATTCACTTATTATATTTTCCCAAATTTTGGATTCAGCTTACATCTTGTATGGATTAATCTGCTGAACCATTTTGGTAATCAGAGAGATTTCTAACAAAATCGGTAACAGCAGAAAACAATGTTTCTGATTCAGACGTTTACAAATTTGAATTGAATAAAATCTATTAGTATCTAAAATGATATTGACAAAATAAAACGAAAATCGGGACTATTGTTAGATTTTTTCGCCATTCGCGTTGCACAAAAAGTCACATCAAAGTTGACAATTTAATATATAATCTTTAACTTATAATTTCTGTCGTTATATTTTATAATCTAATCCATATAATAATACAATGATAAAGACGTTTTTGCCTTAGATAAAAAAAACAACAACACAAAAACATTCAGGATGCGATGCGTAGTTTTCCCTATAATTTGTAACCGTAAAGAACTTATAGAATCATAGATTTTTATACATTTTTATCGTTCCAACACGCGTTTCGGCTGCGCATTCATCTCAATTAAGATGTATGCACAAGACATCGCCAAATTGTCTGCGTTATATCTACTGTATCTTTATTAACTTTCGATCACTTTAATGTCTACACGAGAGATACTTTAATCATTTATTGTTTCCAGAACTGACAGATAGGTTACCTGTAGCCTAAGATTAGTGTTCTTATTATTTTGATATTCAACAGCTTCTGGAACAGTATTGTAAACAGGGGAAATATCGCTATCATTACAAAAAAGAAAAACATGTTATGCTTTAAAACACTCATTTCTTTTAGCACAGGAGTGGTATAGTAGAGGTATAGTAAAATTAAAGTGTTCAAATAATCAAATATAACAATAGGCTTCATACCATTGCTTTTCTTGTATCTGTTAAAACATATTTTAATTGCAGACATAAGTTTACAAGATCAGCAAGAATATATACCATTTATTCATTCATCTTATACATGTACCTGTATCTGTTGAAACAGAAAATTTACAAAAAAAGGAAAGAAATATAAATAAAGAAACACACAAACAACGGAGAAAAAAAGAAAGAGAGAAAGCAACAAATAAACAAAGGGAAAAAACTACGCCGCATAAATCGAATTCATTAACAGAGGTATAGAATATGCGCTATGGCCGATCATAACCTTAGCACGTGCATGCGGCACGTGTAGCTCTGTTACCGGAACTTCTACAAATGTTTGATTATATTTATAATACTGGTCTTGAAAACATATTTTTTTGAAATTTGTTCTAGCTTCGTGGTTTACACATTAAATAAATTGAACTATTATATAATTTAATAATCAATTTTAAATGGTGATATAATGTGTGTGAATATCATTTCCGAACATGATTTAAATGTGATGAGATTTTTTAAATATTCAAATAAAAATATACATGTATATAAACCATACAAAGGCTCACTACAGCTGTACAGCTGTAACTGCGCATTATCACTCCTATACAGTATACCGGAAATATGTTTTACGTATTAGTATCGAATAAATTGTAGAAAAGAAAGAAAACGCAAATACCTTTTTTAAATATATATTTAATACTGTCCCGTCAATATTCTCACAACATTTATTACACTATATAAACTATTTGTATGTGTCATAAACTATCAACTATAACAGTTCAATCAAGTTCTGCATACTGCCGTGTATATATGAGAACACTAACAGATGTATCTGTCAAAACATTAATTGATTTCATCTGTGTACTACAGAGATGTATGCCACTGTGAAAGACAGCTACACGTACATACCTGCCGTGCTGATAAGCCTATTATCGGCTTTTTAGAGGTACGCAATGGGGTAATATACAGTTGTATGACGTTATATCTGATCGAAATGATGTAGTTACTCATGAATTATTTATTGTCGGGAGATGTATATTATTTTCTAAATAAATATTTTAGATCTTTAAAGATCCTGTAACACAATTTTTTCATGGTTTTATTTGATAAGTATGATGCTCAAATTTAAATTTGTCAATATTGTAAGTTCCAATAAGCATTATTTATAAAGATATTATCCAATTTAACATTTTATGTAAATAAAGGGAGGTAATTAGAACTTTATTTTCTATAAATTCTAAGTCAAATTTTACAATAAGAGATGAATGCGTGTAATTTATTGATTAAATATAATATGCACAAATTTTTGCAGTACACATTTTACATATTCTTCGATGTTTGAAAATTGTTTAATTTGCATAATTATATACATATATAATTTTTTGCAAGAGTGGTATACATATAGTAACAATATCGACCACAAAACATACAGGATCTTTAAAGTTTTTGATAGTTTGCCAACAAAAAAAACAACAAAAAAAAAACGAAGCTTCGGCATATGATCACACTAAATGTTTCGTTTTCCAAAAAAATAATATATATATCACCATGGTAACGAAAATTCAGTCGGGAAAATATTTAACTTTATTATATACTTTTAAATGAAATATTATGAAATATTCATGAAATAAAATACGTAATTTCATTTTCCGTATTTTCACTGTAAAAAATTATTTTTCACTGCAGTGAAACATATTTTCAGTATTATCACTGGTGTCTTGCCGGACTACTTTCTTTTAAATTCTGCCAGTACTCAAAATTTTAGGGAAAGTCTTTCAAATTTTAATGTCCAGAAAGGGAAAAATGTATATAATAAACAGAAAATTCAAGTTTTTTTTCAATAAATACATGATTTATTTTCACCTTGTGGCATGAAAATTACCATATTTCACTCGTGGCTACCGCCACTCATGAAATATTTATTTTCATACCACTCGATGAAAATAAATCATGTATTTATAGAAAAAACTTGAATATCCTCTATTTATTTTATTATTATTTTAAGCTTACTGGCTAGGTTGATTAAGTAGACGTATGTCAGTATACCATGTGAGAAACTGATTTAACTTTTTATTTAAATACATTTTATTGCAAAAAACAACAATATATAGAGGGCCTAGATACATGTTCCAATTTACAAAGACGCCTCCGCCCCCTCAATCACGTGGTATAGAAAAAGAAAACCTCTAAATGGAACCCTTGCATATGCTAACGGTATATGTTTTTTGGGTATTTATATTGGAAAGCGGTCCAAAATAATGTCATTTAGCAATAAAAAATTATTTCCAAGAAAATGAAGTATTTTAAATTAAATTAACTAAAAAAATAACTGCGTTGATCGCCGTCATATGAAAGCTGTGATAATCGCCGTTAATGATTTTACGAAAAGTTCTATTTTGAAGACAATCCTCGCTAGAAAAACAATTATTTCGTTTAACAATCGAAATATTACACACGGCATGGTACCAAACGGCGCGATGTCGTACTGTAGTATATGTATTGTCGTCCTGTCTCACGACAAACGGCGCGTTGTCGCGCGGTGCGTTGTCGCGATATCGCCCTATCCTTTGGCTTAAAAGCCAACGAATCCTTCGATTTGAACCGAGTGACAATGTGACATCGCGACAACACGCCGCACGACATCGCGCCGTTTGGCGTGCATCGTTAGGACGACAAAAAATAGATAAATACAGAATCCCTAAAGAAAGCCCAACACAAGACGAAAGTCCGACAACGCGCCGTTTGACGCTAGCTAAATCGCACAAAATCGCTCCAAAGACATAAGAATATAAGAATGTGTTGTTTTGATTTTTATATAATTAATATGCAGATCTACTTTCTCCAAATCAAAATTTAATGATAAGTAATATTCAACGAATCCAATAAAATTTGATAAGGAAAAACTAAGTCAAAAAGTTTTTCATTGCAATCCCTCCTTACAACCTGCAATTTCTTCACAGAAATGTAAATTTATATCAAGGATATTTTATTAGATTCTACTTCAGTCGAGCAAAAATCAGTAGGCCCTAACTTATAAATAACTAGCATTAAATTATTTCCGTAATAAAAGAGTTTCAACTATCTGCCAAGGGAGGTAATCACTGTAAGGAGTTTGAGTTACTTCCCCTCTTTAGAAATGGAGTTAGCTCAACATAGTACTAGTATCGAACTTTTATCTTGCGTTTACTTTTGAGTTGATATAACAACTTTTTTCTGTATAAATGATATATTTGTATTTAAAGGAATAGGAATGGATGGATTGATGTCTGTCTAATATAAATATTCATCATTTAAAAAGAGGAACCATGACAGTTTTCCTATTGACATGAACCCTATAAGAGAGAAATTCGTGTTTTAAGACACTATTTTTTACTTGAGAAATAAGTTCATGGGCGCCGCCATTTTGGCGTTCTGTCATTCTCGCGAGACAGACGAGACCGAGATTGTGACGTGTTATACCCACTTCCGGTATAGGTGTACACGCTGGTACAACTGAAATATATCTTAATGAAGAACTTATTAATTTTATTGCGTACATTATATATTATTTATGAAAACATCATATGGAACTGAATTGCTTTAATTAATTAATTGAAGACGCCGCGACATTAATTATCATTTGTCCGATATTCAAGCTTGCTGATGATCCCACCACATGATTTAAGCAATGACTGCTTAATTTTCAAAGATAAACAATAAATTCAATTTTGGTACAATGAAAAACTTCTTCAAATTGACGATATATCCTTTTATTTTGTACTTAATTTTCGCTAGACAAGCTGTCCAAATAGGGTACATCGCCGGTCATGTATCTTTTTTTCAAGTTAAATATCAACTAAATCCAATATGCTGAGGACGCGATTTTCCGCCATTGACGCTAAAAATGAGAATGGCACAGGAAAATCGGCAGCCAGACTAATATCGTATGAAAACAAAACTGTCCGTTAGGTTATTTAGGCACCGAGTTAAAACTGGTACCAACAGCAACAGTTGCCCATTCCCCTACAATTACGCATATTCTCGGGTTTATCCAGTTCCCTAAAGCTTTTTTCCACGTTATCTATACTTACCAAATTCCTTTCCCCGACAGATACACATTTCTACTACCGTAAATTTAATCCAATAAAACAAAAAATCATAAATCTACTTAATATTTAAAATGATTATTGGTAACTGAAAAAAATGTGTTGCTATTTTATGACGTGCTGTAATTTACTGACAGGTGTGGAACCTAATTCCCCCTAAGGTCATTCAGTTCACTGATGAAGCGTAAAAAAATAGATGTCTATTTCGTCATTGGAATATTTGACAAGGGTGATTAACCAATCAGGGCAACATTGTGCATGATCAAAAGGTCTGTCGGCACAGAGGCATACAAGGAGCAATAAAAATCGTCAGTACACAGTGTGACAGGAACATTTGGTGCAAATTAGGAACAATTAAAATGGACAATGCGCAATATTAGACATACATTGTAAGTAGTAAGAACCAGCATTTGTGTGAAAAAATTATTCAAATTAGATTTTTGAGCAGCCAATAAAAATGATTTGCCTGCAGTGAATATTAGGCTACAATAACGATGCCCAGCATCATACGTTGACATGTAGACATGTTAACAATTTACTTTTCAAAAGAGTTGCTTATATTTTTGAAATGCGTACATCAATTATAACATATGTTCACACCTTTAAATTTGTAAGTCAGAATCAAACTGCAAAATTTAATTATATGTACTATTAAGAACACGTTTTAGTAGGGTTTTTATAATGGAAGTGGCTAGCGTACGGGCCCGTACGGCTAGCCAAAAGTTTTAGCCGTACGTGAGTCACGTACGACTAGCAAGGACACACTGTATATTGGCTAGCCGTACGGCACTTTTCAAAATTTTATGGAAGTCGAAAATGCATATGTTATATTATGACTTTAAGCAGAAATTTTAACCAAGAAACAGCATTAATTGTCTTCGGATGTTAACTTTTTAGAGATTAATCGCCTTGATCGCTATATATATATATCGATCTTTGTCATCGCAAGATGTCGAGAAAAAATAGCCTTTGCTTGCATTTACACCAATTGAAATAGTTAACAAAATTTTGATAATAATCCTTTTTTGTTTCATTAATTTTAATTTTCGACACCTTTAATACGAAAAAAAAACAACAAACACTGAAAATGATTGTTGTTAGGCTCTTGATAATTGCGACAATTACCGACGGTACTGTATAGAAGTTTGTCCATCAAGGAAAGTTTGCATGTTCCGTGAAAGGCATTCTAAAATTCTATTGTCAGTCCCTGGATAGGTTTTAATTAAGGCTAATTAATTGATTGACTGTGCTTTTATGTTCGATATTTATCTACTGTTTTGAAAATTATATAATTATTTTTGCATTTCACCGTTTTTTTTTCATTCAATGTTCTTTTTATTTATTTATTCCACTCCGATCATTTTTTATTCGATCCATGTGCTTAAAATTAACAAAAATGATTTAATAATTCATACAAATAAAACAACAAATGATAAGCATGAAAATCAACAATTTTATAACGTTCGACTTCCATATAATTTTGAAAAGTGCCGTACGGCTAGACTAGATGGGCTAGACAATACAGTGCGTCCTGGCTCACGTACGGCTAGAACTTTTGGCTAGCCGTACGTTTCTTTATTCATTATTATTTTTTTTTTTGATATTGTTGCGTATTTTGAACCATAAAAAAATCTCCTCTACACCTCCTGTGAAAATTAAATTGTCTGGTCAATACTTTATTATATTAATATTTCCTTACGATTCAACTAGATTTATCATGAATCTAAAGATGTGGGGAAATGACATCACGCGCACCTGTTTTTATACGGTTAATACACAAACATGGCCGCGCTTACTGATTTGTAGAAATCGGTGATTTAGCGATTTAAATTTTGATATCATTTGTTTAATATTATTATTTGGCGGCAGAAAATTTGCAGTTTTATTATTTATAGTATTCTTTTTCTGAAATCAAGTTTCTATTCTAACCTTGTCTTTCCCTTTAAGATGAGAAAATAGTTTTCAAAGAAAAAATATTACAAAAGACATTAAAAAAGTATCATTTCAAATTCGAATATTTTGCTACTAGAATGTAAACAAACAGACAGCACAAACTAATCTCACTTTTTTGGCATAAAACTTTGATCATTATAATGGCTTTTTAGTGTTCAAAATTCTTTGACATTTTAATTTTAACACTGCAAATTCTAGATTACTCCAGAGCCATACTCATGACACTTGCTTATTGAAACTAAATCGTCATTTCATTGCATTTTGATAAACCTATTCGGCATGTTCGGTCATTTCTATTTTCAGATGGAACATGATCGTGCAGTATTGATAGTGAAACTAACTTAAATATCTGATCATGGCCTCTGATGATTTTTACAAAAAGATGATTGGAAAAGGGTTGAATAGGGATAAGATTAAATTATGGGAGTTACCATACACAAACAAGGATGGAAGTGCTGGTTCTATTCCGCAGGTTAGTCAAACTATTTTGATGGGTAATGTAACGATTCGCCACACTAACGATTCGCCACATAACGATTCGACACAGAGTAATAACGATTCGCCACAGTTAAATAACGATTCGCCACGTGTTCAAATACATTTTTTTTTCACATCTGTTTTCAAACTGTTGATGGAAAACTTTTTTCCATTTTATATTTCATTTGTTAATTACATAAATTAATAACACTAAATACACGTTTTATTGAATAAAAACACACGAAAACCAAATATTTTATTAACAAAATTGCATAACACATTTTATAACTTCGTTATTTATATAAACTGGAAAAATATACGTGTACGTATATTTGTTTTGTCTTGTAATTTGTCTTTGAATTTCTGAATATATTTAAATGCCATTATGTTTGTAATGTTTTGTACACGGACAATCTTTAAATATGACATTTTTTAAATGGATAAGTCATGCCTTCTACTACCTTTAAGGTCTTTACTAGTAGATGTTTTCATTGCCTACTTAAGTTATAGCCATACCTACAAATAGAAGAACTTCTTACGAATACAAACAGAACGTGTAAAGCGCATTACAACATAAATATTACTATTGCGAACTTTTGGAAGGAATTTGAATTTGACTATCTTTTGAATTTCATGAAAAAAATCTTGAAAGATTTTTCCAGCATTCTAAAGGATTTGAAAGTTAACTAATCCTGTTTGCGTCTACAGCTTTCTTTTTCTAGACATTGAATCAATTTGAAGGTATTAAATTGTAATGGCTAAAGTTATGAAAAAAAAGATAAAAAAATGTCTACAAATTTATGTGGGTATTTTATCTTTATTTATTTATATAATTGTTTTAATGTCATTTAATAATGTACTGGAAATAAAATTTCAAATGTCATAGATGCATATGGTCTACGAAATAAATGTGGTCTCAAAGACTACTAAACAATGGATAATTAGCCGAGAACATTTTTGGCAGCCTTTCTGTTTTATGTGACATAAATCAATTTAACTTAAAAGATGATTCTGATTTCGTTATTTTTCGTTTGTATACTATTTTATGTATGTGTTTAAGCTATCTAAACCCTCTTAATCGGCATACATCGGCTCGCTCAAATTAATTTGTAAACAAACATAAGCTTAATTGCCGCATTGTTTTGAAATCTGAATACATTGTCAGATAATTAAAGGATTATTTCGGCGTCAATTAAATATTTCTACAACAATCCTAAGGTGATTGGCTTGTTTAAATTAAAGGTGTGACAAATGTTTTACATATGCGTTCTTTAATCAATTATCGTAAATCAATTTTCGTATGAACACATGTTTTTGCAATACTTTGTTTAAATATTTGACATATATTATAATATATGAACTATATATTTATATATAAATATTAATTGACATATAATTATGTTTATGAGTAATTCAATAATTATTTCAACATATAATTACTTTCTTGTTAATGTACTCCTGTAATAATGTTACTTTGATAAATTGAAAATCCGCGATGGGGGCCTTAACTTCATATTACTTGTATTAAGAAACATTATTAAATTATTGTCATTGTCAAATTATTAAAACAAAAGGAAAAAGTTTGTTGATTACTAAAAAATCATCGTTATAATCATACTGTGGCGAATCGTTATTTAACTGTGGCGAATCGTTATTACTCTGTGGCGAATCGTTATGTGGCGAATCGTTAGTGTGGCGAATCGTTACTAATTCTTTTGATGTGCCACAGCTAGAAAATTTCTCAGATATTTTTGTTCTGGGTCAGAATATCGTGTATACACAAAATAGCACAATATCTCACATGTATCAATAGTACAATTAGTTGAATTATTCTGCAAGTGTGTTATGAATATGTAGAGTGGTTGGACCAATGCTCGGCGTAAAAAATATTTTTTTAGAATATCTGAAAATGTCTCGAGTTATCTCTGATTAAGGTCACTGATGCTTTTATTTACATCTTTCACCATTTTATCCTGATGTGGTTCACTGCTGTGTCACATGACAATGTTAATAGCGGACGAACAACCGTATATGTAATCCGCAACATATAAATTATTAAAATCTTTTAACACTGAGAGTTCTGGGGCTGTAAAATTTAAACTAAAAGTTGGGTACTTGTAAATGTATGAACCTAATTTGGTTGTTAAAATTTATTCAATATGTTTTCTTCATAAGATAAAAAAAGAGATTTTATTCGTAAAACAATCTTGCATCATGTAGTATTGTACGCCGAGCTATGGCACAACTTCAAGTAAACCACTCTTGTTTATCTGGACTATCTATAGCTCCAGCCATGGACATGATTTACTTGATAAGATACATGAACAAATCAGATAATATTTGGATTTTACACAATGGCTATTTAAAACAATATCATCGGTCTTGAAAATGGACATATAACATTGAGGTTTGTTGACGTTGATTTGAATTTGCCATATCAAATATAGTATTTTTACGCCGAGCGTTGGTCCACCCACTCTAGATATGTTTCTTTTTTTTCAGCAGGTGTAACAACTACATTTCTTTAAGGCCTATTCAGAAATTGTAAAACTAGCTAAACACTTATAAATTGTATGAATAAGGCAAAGCCTTAAAACAAGCTCTGAATGAAATTTCAGTTCTAATACAACTATATTTATTAAACATATATCGGCTTTTAATATACACCTTTATGTTACAGTAATGATTACATTATACTAAAGAAGTTAGAACTGTACAGTATATTTTTGGTTGTACAATTCACTCAACACTACCAGACACTATTTTTACTTTCGAAATATGGCTATTTCATGTTTTAGATGATATCTAAAATGAATCCTGTCAGATAACTTAGATTCACATAAAATCCAATTTCAGGATTAATGATTCCATTTCTGGATTAATAAATCCATTTCGGGAAAAGGATATAACGAAATAGTAACATACAGGAAGTTGATATTGCGGCAGTGTCTATTTCTATTTTTTCTTTATTTAATGGATAAGATGCATAGAAAGGAATTTTTTTACTGCAATTTATCCTAAAATGTGCTTTTTACTTGAATCAGTCACAATTTTAAGTACTTTATGATTTATTGATCAAACGAACTTGAACGCGCTAAGAGTCCCATTTTGGGAAAACCTAAGTTAGGGAAACTTCACATTTGGTTTAATATAGTTATTAGTAAGGAATTCAGTAAGTCAATTTGAAAGGGAACCAGAATGAGAAAGGAAACCAAAAACAGCTGTTTACCAGCATGCTCTGGTAAACTGTAGTGCAGGTAACCTGCTGCCAGGTATTGATTCCTGTTGGCTCCAAATATAATAGAACAGGGAACCAAAATTGCCTCCGATGAAGAGCAGGCAAACTTATTACCCATAATTTTGCTGTACTTCTGATAAAGTTTTCAAAACCATCACTTCTGGAGATACTTGTGTTACAGTAACTCTAACTTTGCAAGCAGGCTCTTTTGGCTATTATCAGTAACTTTCTGTACATGCCAGATACTAACTTTGACAGGGCTGGAAAAACTGATTTTGACTTTCTTGTTTGTTTTACTTGAAACATATCCTAACTTGTCCCTATGATATTTAATAAGTAGATTCAGGAAAAAGTTCACTTCTTAGTATAGGCAATTCGGACAATTGATTTTGCTGACCCTGCAACTTGGGAATTCGCCTAAGTGGCATATAATAGCAATTAAGTGAATTTGGTCTCTTTTGGTTTAAATGAATAAAAAATTGGAACAGATGATCTAGTTTAGTGGATCCAGTAAGATTACTACAATTAGCATGCTTGCCTGTTGGATGCTGCTGCGCCCACTTGCCCAGCCCTCCTTTTTTACATGTTTATTCCTAACACAGCAACGAAATTTAGAATAGCACTTACATGTACTAACAAAATGACATGAATACATCATAGTAACGAAGAAATGCATGCACATTCATTTAGTTCTGGTGACCGCTAAACTGGATTCTTTCTAAAAAGTTATTTATAAAAGAATTGATTATACCATTGTACAATAATTCCACACAAAATATATGTAAATACACAAGTTTAAGCAGAAATTGTCTCTATTTTTTATGGCCTGTGCCATTATGACTGTTTTAAGTCAATTAATAGATTGTCATGGCAAATTTGCAGTAGAGGAACATTAATAATTTTCTAACTTGTCAAGTTTTGACCTTAAAAGGTTAAATAACTTGAAAAAATGCAAGTATCATTTAGTACAGCAGTGTACTGCATTAAATGTAAGTTTCCAGAGCTTAATCCAAAAAGTACCAAAAACAGCTTATGAAAATGTCAATCTGATGGGTCTATTGCAGACTTTTTTAGTACTTACATGTATGTTAGTGGACTTACTGTAAAGTTATTAAAATAAGTGTACAACTTGTTTTATATACATTTTTAAGCTTAAAGAAAAAGTGTAAATTAAACTTCATTTCCTAAATTACTTTTGCAATGTAAGATTTCATTGTTGGTTTTATTACGGTATGTTTATTTGTTAATGCCAGTATAATTTATGACCTTGTTAATGAAATTTGCAATATGAATAAATATTTTTCAGGAGATAATTTCCAAATATGCAAAAGAGTTTAGCATTCAAGAGTCACAAGTATCAGCTATTTTAGAAACATTGAGAACCCATGCATTACAGAAACTGGCAGAGATAGAGAAATTTAAAAGTTCTGGTCTTGCAACTCTGAAGATTAAAATATCAGGAATTGAGGTTTGTTATTAAATTCTAACATCATTTTATGTGAGATCCTGAGATAAAATATATTCAATATGTCCTTATCTACTGCTGTAAAACATAGACAGTTTTTGTGTCGCCTTGAAAAGGTGACATATAGGACAGTTTTTGTGTCGCCTTGAAAAGGTGACATATAGGGGTTACTTTCGTCGGCGGCGTCTGTGTCGGCGTCGTTGTCAGCGTCCCCTAAAGCTTGTTCGGAGCATAACTCAGTCACTATAAGTCTGATTGACTTCAAACTTGGTATGCATGCGTCTTTCAATAACCTGAAGTGCAGTGCACAAGGACCGGTACTCTGCAGTTCTTATTTTTTGAGTTATTGCCCTTTGTTAATTTTCCTACTTTAATTTTGTCCGGGCCATTTCTCTTCAACTAAAAAAGCTATGGACTTGAAACTTCATAGGATGATAGATCTCATTAAGAAGAAGTGCAGTGCACAAGAACCGGTACTCTGCACTTCCTAATTTTTTAGTTATTGCCCTTTGTTAATTTTCATACTTAATTTTTGTCCAGGCCATTTCTCTGAAAGTATAAAAGTTATGGACTTGAAACTTCATAGGATGATAGGTCTCATTAAGAAGAAGTGCAGTGCACAAGAACAGGTACTCTGCATTTCTTATTTTTTGAGTTATTGCCCTTTGTTTATTTTCATACTTTAATTTTGTCCGGGCCATTTCTCCTTAAGTATAAAAGCTAATGACTTGAAACTTCATAGGATGATAGATCTCATTAAGAAGAAGTGCAGTGCACAAGAATCGGTACTCTGCATTTCTTAATTTTTGAGTTATGGCCCTTTGTTAATTTTCATACTTAATTTTTGTCCAGGCCATTTCTCTGAAAGTATAAAAGTTATGGACTTGAAACTTCATAGGATGATAGATCTCATTAAGAAAAAGTGCAGTGCATAAGAATTGATACTCTGCATTTCTTATTTTTGAGTTATTGCCCTTTGTTGATTTTCTTACTTTATTTTTGTCCTGGTCATTTCTCCTCAAGTATGAAAGCTATGGACTTGAAACATCATAGAATGATAGATCTTATTGATAAGAAGTGCAGTGCACAGAAACTGCTGCTCTGCACTTATTATTTTTTTAGTTATTGCCCTTTGTTATTTTTCATATTTCATTTTTGTCCTGGCCATTTCTCCTAAACTACATTGTTCACAAGGCGACACATCCGACTCGCGGAGTTCTAGTTTTTTATTTGCATGATTATTGTTAATGGACATGATTTACTTGATAAGGTACATGGACAAATCAGCCAATGTTTGGATTTTTGAAAATTTAGTTTTATAAGATTGTTTGCAGCTTTCTCTCAGCCTTGTATGTGGTTTTAGCATGACAACTTTAAGACTAAAAGGCACATCATTTACATGAGCTCTTTTTGTAATGTTTGTTTAAAGTTTTCAGAAATTTGAGGTCTTTGTCCAAGACCAGTTAATTACTCTATAATGGATTTTTACTGAATTTCATTCCTGTTCAAACTTAAAGAAAGTCTTGTTATACTTGTATGTGCTCCACACTGAACTCAAAGAAGGTTTTCACTCAAATCTTCACACATGCAGCCAGTATCTTATTTAATTTAGTAAGTGAACTTTATTTATGTGCTTTTTAAGTTTTCATGTCAAACATTATCTTGGTTTCTTTTATTTAAAGGGACACAAGGAAATAATTCCAGTAGAAGTGAATCTTTCATGTAATGGAGAAGAATTACGAAAGAAAATAAGTGAGCTATTGGTTGATTCAAACAAACATTTTAAATTGATATGTTCAGGACGAGTGATTGCAGATGATAAAGTTCTCCAAGAACAAAATATTAAGGTATAGTAAATCCTCACTATGTTCAGAAATTGGAATAAACATAAGTTACTTGAATCTACATGTTTTTAAGAATATTATCCATTAAGTTTTCAGCCTTTATTTTAATGAGATACAGTTTTTAGCTCGACTATTCGAAGAATATGAGAGCTATTGTAGTCGCCCCGGCGTCGGCGTCTGCGTTGGTTAAAGTTTTTTGTAAAGTCAAATATCTCAATTATTACTTGAGATATTCAATTGAAACTTACAATACTTATTTATAGTAACAAGGTACATCAGATTGACAAGTTGGATAACTCTGCCTACAATATTGACAGAATTATGCCCCTTTTTAACTTAGAAATTTTGGTTAAAGTTTTTAGAAAAGTCAAATATCTCAATTATTACTTGAGATATTCAATTGAAACTTACAATACTTATTTATAGTAACAAGGTTCATCAGATTGACAAGTTGGATAACTCTGCCTACAATATTGACAGAATTATGCCCCTTTGGAACTTAGAAATTTTGGTTAAAGTTTTTTTGTAAAGTCAAATATCTCAATTATTGCTTGAGATATTCAATTGAAATTTAAAATACTTTTTTATAGTAACAATGTACATCAGTTTGCAAAATTGCATAACTCTGCCTGCAATATTTGCAGAATTATTTGCCCCTTTGAAACTTAGAAATTTTGGTTAAAAGTTAAAGGTCTTCAAAGATATTTACTTGAAACTATACACATGCACTTAGGGTCATAATTGGAGGGTCATAATTGTATGTCACTGACCAAGTTCCATAACTCTATCTTGCATAAAGGCTGATTCATATCCCCTTTTCCACTTAGTCTCATGGTTAATGTTTACATGCAAGTTTTACATATTTCAATAACTATTAAAGATATTTATTTAAAACTTCACATATGCATTTAGGGTCATAATTGTAGGTCACTGACAAAGATCCATAATTCTATCTTGCATTTAGGCTGATTTTTCTCCCCTTTTTCAACTTAGAAATTCATGGTAGGGTTTTGCTTGTAAGCTGTTATCTCAATAACTACTGAAGGGTTTGTGCCTTTTTTGGGACACTTTTATGCATTCATAATAATAAATCAGTGATTTACTTGATAAAACATCTTAATAACAAGCCTTTGTACCTTTTCTGTCAAATTTATGTATTCATAGGTAATTAGTATTATTATACTCAATAAAACACCCTTGTGACATTACCTTCCGAATAGTCAAGCCAATACTGTATAATTAGACTCTCTCTAAGGCCTATAACATGAATTTATAAAAAAAAATTAGCCCTTTTGTGAACTTAAAAAATTTAACATTATCAAGGCTCCTTTACTATCAAGCACTAAGAATAGTCGAGCGTGCTGTCCTACCGACAGCTCTTGTTAGATGTATAGTTCTTCAATATTTGATATACATTGTAATTGAATTAAAATTTTACATTTCTCAGATCGGGACTAAGCCTTGTTAAATGTGATGTTAATTAAGACCAGTGTAAGCTTAAACATAGATGTGAAGTGGCGGCGTGGCCAGGTGGTTAATGCGTCAGACTAGTAATTTAAGGATTCCTGGCTGCATGGGTTCAAACCCTATCAGGGGCAAACTATTGTTTCCTTGAGCAAGAAACTTTACATTCATTGCTTATTACTTGTTGGTTAAAGTAATGGATTCAAGAGTGTTTCAATAATCTTATAGTTTCCAGCACAATCAAACTAAAATAAATTTTATAAACAAAACAAAGACCTGGACATTTTTCTGATTACTCTTCAGAATGGGAGTCAAATTCTGGTGTTGTGTTTAAAAGTAACAGAGTGTGAGGCAAAGGCTGATGATAAAATATCTGCAGAGATACAAGATTTCAGGCATGCAGCAGAGTTATTATCTAGGCGAGCTGAACAAGGTACATTATATGAGCTGCGTCATGACAAAACCAACATAATGGGTTTGCGACCAGCATGGATCCAGACCAGCCTGTGCATCCGCGCAGTCTGGTCAGGATCCATGCTGTTCGCTTAAAACCCTATTACAAGTAGAGAAACTGATACTGAACAGCATGGTTCCTGATCAGACTGCGCGGATGCGCAGGCTGGTCTGGATCCATGCTGGTCGCAAACCCATTATGTTGGTTTTGTCGTGACGCGGCTCATATATGTTTTATAGATTATATATTCTTTACAATATTCACATGTCCATTACTAAATCAGATGTTTTTGTGTTGTTTCAGATGAAAGTATTGAGATGTCACATATAAAACTTGCATGTTTTAGAATGACATTATTTTATAAACCCTAAACTTGTATGTGGAAAAATTTGAAAATAAATAATAATTGTATTTTGAAATTATTATGAAGCTTAACATTTGACCAGCCAAACAATATCATATTGGTATTGTATGAGCCTTTGAAAAAATTGCTTAATCATAGCTGATACATGTACATTTGTACATGTAGTTGTACGTTGCTATTGGATTATTTCATAGCATTACATTTTATATGTGAATAGTTTAGAATGTTAGTCTAAAAATTTGTTAGTACATGTATATAGTTGGCTAGACTGTGTTAATGAATTGTTTATATTTACTAGAGCATGATGAAATGGATATACAGATTGCAGACCAGTCTGGTAAACCAATACAGCTTCCTCCTGGTGAAAAACGGGTAATATACTTGTACTTATTCATTGCCCTTTATCTGCATTCAAACATCTTTGATGGAAATTGATTTGGACATTTCACATTGATGTTAGTGTGTGAAGAAAAGTATTTAAAGTTCACAATAATGCCTGTTATTGAAATAGATCATTTATGAATCAATTAAAACTGTTGTATCATTTCTATGCCTCCAGTGAAAAAGTGCATGCATGTATAAAATGGCCTGGTTATATATACTAGTGATACTGGCAAACTATTAAATCTTCTAGCATTTAGAGATTTACAAAATATAAAAAAAAGAAACAACATTTATAAAATCTAAGTATTATAGATATTTTACAACCATATAACAGATTGTTATGCATTTTAAAGTGTATAAAGTTATATCTTATGAAATATTCCTACAAAATGTATTAATGGTAAAATTGTGTGGTTTCCATTATTTTATGGTTGATCGTCGTAAGAGTTTTGAACATAGAATGTCTCTGTTATTTAACAGGCTTAAATATTTTACATAAACAGAATGAATGTTCTGGAACAAAATATTATTGTACTGCTATTTTAAGTCTAGATTTAAGCATTTAGCAGTCATTTATCTGACAGTTACTATTATTAAGGAAATGTATAAACATGTATCTTTTTGGAATAATTTTTTGCAAAATCAAACAATAGTTTTGTTAACTACAGGCAGCAGATATATAGCTTTATACACTTCAAAGTATTTATTTCTTTTATCTCAAGATCAAACTATGCATTTAACTATCTGGTAAATTTTCAGGCTTTAACACTTGCTATGGCGTTACATGAGAAAGGGAGACAGGCGTTGAAGAAAAAGAATGTGACACTTGCCCTACCTCTATTACTTGAAGCAGATAAAGAGTTTAAGTATGTAAATATTTGAGCCTGTGCATCCGCGCAGTCTGATCAGGATCCATGCTGTTTGCTATCCGTTTCTCTACTTGTAATAGGGCTGGTAAACAAACAGCATGGATCCTGATCAGATGCACGGATGCGCAGGCTGGTCTGGATCCATGCTGGTTGCAAACGCACTATGTTGGTTTTGTCATGACACGGTTCATTTGTATCTGTTATACAGTACTGTCAGAGCCAGTTATGATTTACAGTTTATCTATAACATAGCAGAGTGGACAGTGGGATCTTAACATATCAGAAAAGAAAGGATTGGTACACTGATATATTGAAAAATATTAAATGCACATTTTGTAGGATAAAATATCCAACATTTTTATATGCTTCGGTTGGCAAAATTTTGATTTTTAAATATTAATTAAAAAAAAATCTGATGACGATTTTTCCATAAAATTTGCCAGATGGTTAGATATTTCAATAATAAATACATAATTATGTTTTCTCAAAATTGCAAATATTTTCTTTTATGCGAAATTTTGGGACAAGCTTCTTATATATAAAATATCAATTGATAAAAATAGAGCTGACATGTAAGCATGTAGTTTATAAAGTTGTTATCTTTTTATTACAGCAACATTTTATTTGTTGACATTTGAATTCCAGTTTTCCTTGTCTGTTAGTGTTATTGTGTGGTCTTCTCAGTTCATGGTACTTAATAGTAAAACAAATAACAAAATGTCCTGTATGATAGACTAATTTATGTTAATTTTTTTTCTCCAGACAATGTAGAGCAGATATTTTAAATTCTGTTGATAACTATGCTATTCTGTGTTTGGATATTGTCTGGTGTTATCTTTGTCTTAAACAAGTGGAAGATCTCCCAGATGCTGGTAGGTGCCTTTTTTTAAAGCAGCATATCTCCAGATAATGTTTATTAAAATTTTGAAAAAGTATTTTAAAGTAAAATTATTATAATGTGAACAAGGAAAGTTATTTACACACCGAAAATGGAAGTTACAATCCAGGTTCATTAACAAAAAGAGGTCAGAATATGCAATAGCCCTTAGTGTGTTAGGCACACAATCGAAATATTGTGATAAAATCATAAAAACAGCAAAATCAGTCATTAATCGCTCGTAATATGTAAGTGATTGCTGAAATTGTGAATATTTTTACTTTTCTAAAAATCTATGTACATTTTTTTCAAGTTTGATTTTCTTGAAATATTTTTGTTCATCTAGAGACTTGATCAAAGCTTTAAGATTGTAAGATACATGTTTTTCCAGACATTATACTACGAGAATGAGGAAAATGTGGGGGGGGGGGCTATAATGGATTCACTCTGTCGCGTCGGTCCGTCGATCGGTCGGTCCGTCTCCATTATCGTGTCCTCTCTAAAAATCCTTTACCAATTGAAGGAATTTCTTCAAACTTGGCTCAAAAGTTCACCTCAACAAGGGGATGTGCAAAGCCCATGTTGCCCATGTGTCAGCTCAAGGTAAAGGCCACAATTGAAGGTCAAATATCAAACAATCAAATATTAGACAGTATGTTGTGTTTGCTCTATAAGTCCTACACTAATTGAAAGATTTTCTTCAAACTTGGCTCAAATGTTCACCTCTGTCAAGGACATTGGTGGGGGTATGAATCGCATTCAGCAATAGTTCTAGTTTATGATTTGTAACCTGGAACGTGATATGTGTAGTTGTTGAAAATGAAACAATGACTCAAAAACCCATCATATAACTTTAATGTCACACATGCCTGTCAAAAAGTGAAAAAATATGAATTTTGTAGCAGTTAAAACTACATGGATGTAGGTTTGATCCTTTTATAGTATACATCATTTGAAAGTTAAATATTTTATCCATTGCTGCATGTTAAATAGTAGCAACTTTCCATGCTTTTCTCTTAGAAAAACGTAGCAGAACATACCCACTGAGCCAGTTTTTCGTCATATGCATAGTTGTGTAACAAAAGTTAAAAAGTAGTTCTCTTCAAAACTTGATGTACCATTTATTTAAATGTATAATGTAAATGTTTTTACCTGCAGCCATTGACAAATGTATAAGATTCCAGAAAATGTTATCTCTGGAAAAATGTAACAAACAACAAATTACAGATGAAAACTTATAATGATATTATTGAAAGATATAATTATTTTCATTAGTTGTATATATTAAGTCTGTATGTTGACATAGTGTATAAATATATTATTTACTGACAGAGGAAAGATTACGAAGCAGTGAAAACTTTTTTGAGAAGAGCTATGGTTCAGATTTACAGAGGCTGATGGCTGTTAAGGTAATGAGAAATTTTTATACAGCTGGTTAAGTTGCCGTAATTTTGTTATTTATGTATGGATTTTATTCATATGTGGACAAAAAAAAACAACTAAAAACACTTGTGACCAAATGAACATGTTAAATAATTTTCATATGACCTTGACCTTTAAATGACCTTGACTGTCAAGGTCAGGTGGTCGAATTTTGCTTACATTTTCTTAAAGATTCCGTATGTTGTAATTGAGGTTGTATACCATAAATGTATTCTAGGCTTAATGAGGGTCCATCCGCCCTTTCAGAGGGACTGAGATTATGGACACAGGTTGTATACCACACTTAAGTGAAATTATATATATATGTATATAATTATAATTATAAAACAAAAACAAAAAATTCAAACATCGAAGAATATGTAAAATATGTACTGCAAATATTTGTACATATTATATGTAATCATTAAAATATATGCATTCATTTCTTATTGAAAAATTTGACTTAGACTTTATAGAAAATAATTTTTTTATTACCTCCCTTTATTTACATGAAATGTTAAATTCGGTAATATCTTTATAAATAATGCTTTTTGGAACTTACAAAATTGATAAATCTTAATTTGAGCATCATATTAATGATATAAAACCATGAAAAATTTGTGTTACAGGTTGTTTAACATTTGTCATGTAGGCTTTTAGAAAAAGTAGAAAAGTCAAGCATTGCCTCCGCCCGGCATTGGCTCTTGTTTATTTTCATATACATTAATTATCCTTCTTGACTAATATATCTTTAATAGCCTAAATATGATAATGTAAATAAGTAAATTTATACTCAATATACACTTCAGCAAATTACTGATAGTTTGTTTTTACAGGATCTTGTCATTAAATTATGTTTGTAACTGATGGCACATTCTTGTTCAAATCAGGTATTTAACCCTAACCCCTGATCTATATCTTAAATAGAGGATATTGAATGAGTGTTAGTTCAATACTGAATTTATTGCACGAGTTGAATAAAATTATATTATGCGAGCCTCTGGCGAGCATAATATTATTTTATTCAACCATATCAATAAATTCAGTAATGAACTTACACAAATTTAATATTCTATTTATCACAACCGTTTAAAGTGAAAAAAAGAGTCATTTTTTTCACTGACGCGCCTATTATATAACATTAACATTTAGCATGTTTTTACACTACATGTATGTTTGTATAATGCTAATGAGGTCACGTCAAAATATATGCATGGCCGTGCAATTTCATTTATACAGAGTCGCAAAATCGGCACGGGTATGTGATAAATGTACTTGTCCATCTTTCAATCTGGAGAAATCCATTCATCATTGTTGGGAAATATTCAAAAATTAGTACTGACTGAATAGTGGACATTGCAGACCATGATTAGATGGCACAGATGATCTTAGTTATCATTGATTGCATACATTCCATATTATATTGATTCAGTTCCCTTTAAGCTATTATTAAGCCAGAACAATTCAGTTTATTTCTCATTTTATTTTATTTATTTATGTATTGCTAAGAATAGATTGTAAATATAAACATCCATTTCTAATGATTTCTTGTTCTGACAATTTCAATGTACATTGAACCACATTGCTGATGCTATATTATTGTAATATTGTAGCTGTATGTATTGTAAATTATGTTTTACTTAGAGGCCGACATGGAAGACTGGGAAACCAAATGTGTAGCCTTGATAAATAAAGCCCTTACTTATTTTACTGTTTAATTTACTCTTTACTTTACTCTTTACTTTACTTAACTCTTTACTTTACTCTTTACTTTACTTTACTTAACTCTTTACTTTACACTTTACTTTACTCTTTGATTTACTGTTTACTTTACTTTTTACTTTACTCTTTACTTAACTATTTACTTTACTCTTTACTTTACTCTTTACTTTTCTCTTTACTTTACTATTTTAGGATTCATCAGGAGAAGAGTTAGCATTATTTATGAAGCTTCATTTGTTGCAAGGAATTGTTGCTTTTCATCAACATAGAATGCAAGATGCTTCAAATCTACTGACAAAGGTAAGCTGTTTACCACCAGAAAATGGATGGTTTTAAAGAACAAAACAAACTATAGATTAAAAACATCTGTAAAAACAGGGTGAACTCATTTTCTCCATTCAAAACTATCTCTTAATAAGTAAAATAAAGAATGCTTGTTTAATGCAATGAATACTATACATGTATTTGTTTATCAAGTTTTTGGTATATTTTTATAGGCATTTTTAGCAGCTTGTTTCTGTGTTTTGCTATTTACAGTATGTTTGTGTTTATAGTTACATTAAGTTTTTGTGTTTCATTAACTGTGTCTGTTTAATAGGCAATTTATGTTTATTTTATGTCTATTTTAGGCAGAACAAGAATTACAGAGGCTAGATATAGATGATGATAAAATAACAACAGGTATAGAATATTTTAATGACTGCTTTAACAGCCAATTATATCTTCTATTGTATACTTATCAATGAAATACTGAGAAAAATTGATGAAACAAAATGCATATTTTCATTTTCCACATTTTAGTGTTAATGTTTATTTTTCACTACATATTTTCTGTATTTTCACTGGTGTCTTGCCAGACTATTATCTTCTAAAGTCAGCCAAAAATAAAGGGGGGACATTTTTGGAATTGTAAAGTCCAAAAAGAGAAAATGTATAATAAACAGAAAATTGAAGTAATTTTTTTATAATTATAGGATTATTTTTATTTCATGGTATGAAAATTGTGGCTCATGCAACTCAAAAAATATTTATTTTTCATACCACTCAATGATATATCGATAAAACTTGAATATCCTGTATATCTCAGAATGAATAAACATGTTCAAGTACAGTTTTTCTGTCAAGTTGAGAATTGATCAAGGTTTGATCGAATTTGAATTGCTTATGACATATTTTTTTTTTACTTTTGAGGTGAGCTTTTATGATGGCAGTGTATTTACCTTCAATCGTTCATTGTTTGTCATTTCCCACAATTTATTTAAAAACAACCATAATTAGATAAATTGGCGAATTTTTTTACCTAATAAATTGGTGGATTTTGACCAAACTTTTCACGAAAATGAACCTTAGGTGTCTCTCTGCAAAAGTTTTTTAAATGATTGCAGCCTGATGTCACAAGAGCTAAAATATACTTTAAAGATGAAATTTTAAAAACCTCCTAAGAAATTACAATGCCAATGCCAAAAGCTTAGATATTTGGCATGTAGCATCACTTTGTGGTCCTTTACAAAAGTTATATAAATCTAGGGACATTACCATCTTATTTGCAGTAATGTCTATGGGTTTTATGGAGGGTGAGACAAGGTTAGGTCTTAGAGCATGCAGTGGTAATGTAGAGAATGCTGTAGCACATATCATGAAGAGACGAGAGGTTAGTACACGGGTCATTCTTTTAACCCTTAGCCTGCTGAATTTCTGTAATGGACTTTTCCACCTTCCATTTTTGGAAGTATCCATTATCATTTTTAGGGATATAAAGATAAGAACTTGAAGATGGTCAGCCACAAGTATAGAGCCTGGTCAGACTGCACAGATGTGCAGGCTGGCCTGGCTCTATACTGGTGGGAAAATACGTATGTTTTTCTTTATCAAGGAAAAGAAAGAAAATGCCAGAAAACGGAGAAAAGAAAGACAAAAGAAGAATCTTGTTAAACATCTTGGTCAGACTGCTGATGGAAACAAGTAAGAATTGTTCTATAAAAGTTTATATCAAGTAGTTTTGACAGTTATTTTTTTCTCTTCTATAAACCAGTGTTTTGACTTTTATTTCATCATTCATATTCCTAAGTATGTGAGGACTTGTACATTTTTATTAATAGAAATCACTCAAGGTAAATAGTCATTGAATCATCTGTTTGGAACCTGGTGTCTGCTTTAACTAGTAAAACTTGAATAAATCATTGTATAACCTTATTAAATGGTGCTGCTGTAAACAACACAACTTTAGTTTTCATCAATAGAAATTGATTTTGGATGTTTGATTAAGAAAACATATCACATTATATTATTTAGTAATTTTATGCCTACATATGCTTGTACTGATGTTTACCTGTTATTATTTCCAGTGTGAATGTAGATGTTTATGAGATGTTACTAGGTATGGGGTACCCTAAAGGAGCCTCAGCTGAAGCCCTCAGACAGGCAAATAATGATCTCAACTTAGCCCTTGAGGTAAATATTATATATTCCATACTACTAGGCCAAAAAATCCCCTGATCCAATGGGATAGCCTCTGTCTGTCTGCCTATTGTAACATTTTCCTGTCTGCTCTGTAACTTTTAGACTGCTGAAATGTTTAAAAATAACTTGACACAAATGGGGATGGCATTAATGACCACCATGATACGAAATATGTAAAGCACAACAACCATGTCACAAAATCAAGGTCATATTTTAAGGCCAAACATAAAAAAACACATTTGGTGTCACCGCCATAACTTTTAAAATGTTTCTGAAATAACATAGCACAACAGATTACCATTATTGCTCAACAGCAACAACCAGATTGCTTCCCCCATGGTCAACGTTACACTTAAAGCGACTCCACTGAGGTTTTTTGACATGATAGGACTAAAAATATTTTTTCCAGATAAATGTACCCTTTGATATAGGTTTAGACCACTAATCTTTGTGTAAAATTTCAGATCATACCCGCACTTCGTTTTTCCAGAATTATTATTCAGATTGTAAAAAAAATAACCCAAAATGAAAAGCGTTTAAACGCTTTTCACTCAAATCGGGCTAAGAAAAGCATAAATATACGATTTTCAAAGTACTTTTCTTAACTATCTTTGCATATATTTCTGTTTAAAGTGACCCAGCTCATTTTATAAGAAATTCAAGTTATGTTTTTAGGCTTTTAAACCTCAGTGGAGTTCCTTTTAAGGTCAAATGTTAACACATTTTGTGTCTGCTTAAGAACTTGATTAATCTTTGGAATATTTTAAATTAACTTGTCACAATGATCATGGCATATCATGATGTGCAGGGTGAGTAAAATTATGTTGCTAATTCCAGGGTCAAGGTTATATAAAGATTCAGTTGTTCAACACCATAGCTTGCAGGGAATATAGCTGTCCTGTAGACTGCATTGTTGTTTATTTAGTATAGCATTTATTACATGTATGTTAGATAAATACTACAATGACTTTTCTTTCATTCAATATTTTTATGCTCTGCCATAAATTATTGGTGGAAAGGGACATATATTGCTACTTTGCATGTCCAAAATAGTATATATACAAACTTTTTCTCCTGTTCATAACCTCTGCATGCATTGTGGGATTTCAAAGTAAATTGGTACACTTTAACACTATAAGTAGATGTGTGTGTTGTGCTAGGGTCAAGGTCACAGCAGGTGATTGAAGTTATTGTATTTGATTTATAGTGTTAAGTGCAGTAGATGTTCATGTTGGGTTTATAAAGTGTTTACTATTACATGACACCTCAGTTTAATGAATGTAATGTAAATGATCTTTTGAACATCACAGGTGCTCCAGAATCACCCAGAATTCCTCAGTCTACCAGATCCAGAACCAAAACCAAATGTACCTATCACTGATGGCATGATTGCTCAGGTAACACAATTTCTTTAGATCATATCATTGATTATTTATACTTATAGTAATCATATTTATTTCATGCTTTCCAGTGTTTTACTGTAATATATCAAATGATTATATTCTGATAAGCCACTAGTGATATTTATGAAATGTAATTTTCAATGTAATTGGACTATATCTGAATGTGGATGAAAAGAATAGCATAACTTAATGAAATAACAGGCAATAATAAATGCTGTCATATGTCAATTTTGATTCTGTAGGAAAAGAAAGTTGATATCATCATTATCATGTTAAAAATGTTACAAAATTAGAGAAATTTAATAGAACTATATTTCAAAATTGATGATGTGACGTCATGATATGATGATGTCATAAATGTCGCTATGCCACTAGTGAAAATATTGCATCTGGTGTTCGCTCAATGTATATTTCAATCTTACATGCAAAACAAACAAATATCCTCTATGTAATCTTGTATAATAATAATTCCAGTAGTGATATTTTAGTTATATCACTCTCTGATAGTCAACAGCATGTAATATGATGATATCTGATGTAGTAATTTTTCTGTATATATTTCTCACAATATCTTACTTACTGTCTCACAAGAGCCATGTGTTCTATAAAATGCATGAATTATACATGATTGAAACTTGTATGTATCAGGGTATATAGCATTGTTCAGTTTATATAATTAACTCATGAGGTTTGTTAAATGGTCATAAAGAAGAGACTGATATTTATATACTTGTATTTCATTTATGTGTACAGGTAACATCGATGGGTTTTGAGCCTGATATGGCCCAAAGAGCGTTATTGAAGCATAAAGGGGATGTAGCGAAAGCTATTGAGGAGCTAGTGAGTTGTGGGGGTAACATATCTTCACCAGAATCAGCTGATCAAAGTCCAAGCACTTCATCTGGTGCTTCCGGTTCAAATCCTTCCGGTACTGATAACATTTTGTCTTTTTCTTGTCGCTATATAAAATATAAATCAGTTTGGTTATTTTGTTAACATTGATATATTAAATCTGCCTCAGGTATCTGTTTTTTCAATTGACATATATAGAGATTGTGAATCGACTAAATGATACAATTTAATGCTATCAATTAAAATAGTAAGTTTATTTCATTCTCCCATTCAGAGTTATGGATTTCAAAAGCAAGTTACAAAAATAACTTATTAATTAAAACGTAAAGAAATTTCATAAAAAGCTTATAGTGAAAATATGTTTCTGTTTTTGTACCTTAGAACAATAGAACATAGAACAATTTTAGTAAACTATTTTCAAAGTACTAAAGTTTTTTTAATAAACTTACTCTTCTCAATTTATGTGAATATATTTTCAAAATTTCTGATATGGCAGTGACATATAACTTAAAATTTTATTTATTATATATTTACATTGTATATGTTGTATATTTTATTGTATATGTTGTATATTTTACCTTGACAGATGAGGAAATGTCGAACATGAAGACACCAGAACAGTTGAGAGAAGAGAGAGAGGCTATAGACAGACTGGTATCAGATCTGCCGGAAGATGAAGAAGATTATCTTGATATAAATCTGGAGGAGGAGAAACAGTTTCTTAAAGAATACAAATCACTGCTTATATCTTTAAATGTTTGATTTATTATTTATCCCAACAAACTGTAGAAATTTAATACACCACTGAATAATCAGAACATTTGTACAAGAATGATTGTTTTACTGCCACTATGTTAATAAATAGTATTTAATTTATGTTTTTTTATATATGTATTTGCTATTATTTTATGGAGTTATGGCCCTTGTCTTTCTTATAGGTGAAAATTTGTACTATAAATTTTTAGGTTTGTTGTCAGTAAAATTCCTATCAAGCGTCTTAATTTATACATTAAACATGTAATCCAGCCTACCTAACTAATTCTGCAAACATTTTAAAATTGTTCTGGTTTAATTTGTTTTTAAGGAATTTATAAATTCATAAAAAATTGAGAATTTCTTGAGCCAAAGATTTGGTGATCTGGTGCATTTTATCTCGTTATTTATTGCATAAGTAAGGTAAATGGTAAAATTAAACTCATTTGTTGGGGGTTAAAAATGTATGTTTGGGTAATGTATGCATGTCGGGGGATACAAAAGCTAGCTGGGGTTACAAATGCCCCATTTATCCACCAATTGTATTAACAATGAAGGTTTTTAGGTCTGTAGCTTTTTAAATCACTAAATAACTTGTGAGAATTACTTTAGTGATACTAGTCAAGAAATTGTAAACACTTTAAAAAATCTGACAACAGTAACATTTTGCAATTTTTATAGAATTATGGCCCCTACAATGGCAAATTATGTATGACATCAATACTTTATATGTTAAATACATATTAATAGTAAATCAAATATTTTATCTTAATTTAGAATGTCCCACAATAACCTTTGATAAAACATCATCATTTGATCTGATACTTGTCTGTGGGAGTTAGTGGATCTGTACATGATGATTATTCCTTTATACAGTGTTCAAATGTAACATTTAATTTATCCCATGGGTTTATTAATTTCCGAAACAAAAATAACAAATCTATTTTAAAATGTTGTTTAATTGCTTGTATAACTTATAAATAAAGTCATGGGAGAATAAAGTCAAAGATAATGGTTATGTGATGGTTGTATTGAAACCTGTTATGCAAATTGTTACAATTTTCATAATAAAAATTTATTGTTTTTTGTTTTGTTTTGTTTTTGCTTGATTTATTCAGTGAGTTTTATTTAAAGGTACATGCATACAGGAAGCTATATAATATATTTGTGATTAATTACCACAAATGGCTTGGCAAATAAGTTACACCAGTAACCATAATTTTTCCATTCATTTTTCTGCCTTTGATTAAATTGTAATGTTCTTGCCCAACTTTCAAATATTTATTTAAAAATACTGGTATTTAAAACAGTCCACAGAATAGAAAGTTGCCCAAATAGGGTATTGCTGGTAATTTTCTCTCTGGATCTCGGAGTTGCCCTGGTAGTTTTCTCTCTGGATCACAGAGTTGCCCACAATGGTTGTGTTGGTAGTTTTCTCTCTGGATCAAGGAGTTGCCCAGATAGGGTTGTGTTGGTAGTTTTTCTCTCTGGATCACAGAGTAACCCACAATGGTTGTGTTGGTAGTTTTCTCTCTGGATCATGGAGTTGCCCACAATGGTTGTGTTGGTAGTTTTCACTCTGGATCACAGAGTAACCCACAATGGTTGTGTTGGTAGTTTTCTCTCTGGATCACGGAGTAACCCACAATGGTTGTGTTGGTAGTTTTCTCTCTGGATCACAGAGTAACCCACAATGGTTGTGTTGGTAGTTTTCTCTCTGGATCATGAGTTGGCCACAATGGTTGTGTTGGTAATTTTCTCTGGATCACGGAGTTGCCCACAATGGTTGTGTTGGTAGTTTTCTCTGGATCACGGAGTTGCCCACAATGGTTGTGTTGGTAGTTTTCTCTCTGGATCACGGAGTTTCCCACAATGGTTGTGTTGGTAATTTTCTCTGGATCACGGAGTTGCCCACAATGGTTGTGTTGGTAGTTTTCTCTCTGGATCACAGAGTTGCCCACAATGGTTGTGTTGGTAGTTTCTCTCTTGATCACGGAGTTGCCCAGATATGGTTGTGTTGGTTATTTTCTCTCTGGATCATGGAGTTGCCCAGATATGGTTGTGTTGGTTGTTTTCTCTCTGGATCACGGAGTTGCCCAGATATGGTTGTGTTGGTAGTTGTCACTCTGGATCATGGAGTTGCCCAGATATGGTTGTGTTGGTAGTTTTCACTCTGGATCACGGAGTTGCCCAGATATGGTTGTGTTGGTTGTTTTCACTCTGGATCACGGAGTTGCCAAGATATGGTTATGTTAGTAGTTTTCACTCTGGATCACGACAGTTAGCTACATTGATATTTCCAGAGCATAGTTCAGCCACCACATCGCCCAGATAAACAACCCGAGGTTTGTTTTATACTGGTTGTTGTGCTTGTCATATTGTTTCTAGCAAATTTAAGTCACTCTCACACTACCATATCTGGATGATATCTGGATGAAACACAGAAATAGTGCTAATTGTTGTTTTATAATGTTTTAAACTATTTTTAAAAGGTACACTGTCACAACATTACTAGTAGTCTGTTATTTAATTTTGAAATATTTTAATGATTGTGCTGGCATGTAAGTATGTTATTTCAAAACACGGGTTAAGTTTAAATTTCTCTGCAATCAACATATTATTGAAAGAATTATGCCCCATTTATAGCAAATTTTCCGCAAAATTTTTTGAAAAAGATTTCGCAGGATAACTTTGGGAGAATTTCAGTAATTGTGTTTATATTTGGCATGCATGTATATCATGTCAAAACACGAGTCATGTTTGATTTTATGTACAATCAGGTTATTGTTGACAAAGTTATGTCCCTTTACATGCAAACAAATAAATTTAATTTTTTTCTATTGCTTGTAATATTTTTTTACTTTTGTATATTTTTTCTTTCATATTCGACGGAATAATCATTATTTATACTGTTTACAATAATAAATTTGTTATCTAGAAGGAATATTTTTGTCCGTGATACCTTTTTCTAAATTTGACATCTGGCTACTGTTGCACCGCCTCACCGGAGCTGTTTTTATTTGTTAAATAACGTATAGTGCCAAAGGTATTGCCATGAAATGTTTGAAACAATTATTGTTGACAAACTTTAATTAATTCTTTTAATTACACCATCCTAATGGGGAAACAATTAGTAGGGTTGCATTACATAAAGGAAGACATATGTTGTTAATTTTACATAAACCATTGGCACGCGAAAAAAGAGTTAAAAGCTTTCCGTGATATTATTCTTCATGTTTCATCAGATAATGTACAAATAATTTAACTGATGCAAAATTCACCTAGTCCATTACTGATAGATTCTAATCAAATGTTTTTATCATTTTTGTTGCGGGTTGGTTAACATGATCAAATAAAGCTTACAATTCTCACTAATTGCATCGTCAGAATTCAATAATTTCCCTTTGCACCCATTTGCAGTGTTAAGTACTTCCCGTGCCAAATAATTATAAAACATTTTGATAAGTCTAGAACGCATCATTCTTGTCTTGCTTACGATGAGTACATGTTAACATTTCGTTTTGAACAATATTAACTCATATTAAATCAAAGTTGGTTAGAAATGATTTATTATGCATTGCAGTGGGTAAATTTTGTATTTGCTCTGCTTTTGAAACGTTCCGTGTAATAATATACTAAATTATGTAAATATTAATGAATCGTGTTTAGATGCTGATAATGGTAAAATAAACAAGTTTTAATAATAGTGGGAACATTTTAGCATAACCATATAGATTTTCAACAGTTAATGAGTATTTTCACATGCAATATAGGACGACGAAGATGGCTTTGCGTTTTTCTCTTCTGATAAATATATTGCTGTGCGCTAAGCTGGTTAGAAGTTTATATAATAATGAGAGTCAATTCGACATACAAAACGAAATTGTTGAGGATTTTAAAAGACTATGCCCTTATACAAATACATGTTTGAGCAGAGCACGTGAAAACTTGACGGAGCAAAGTGGTGGTTTAGTCGCGTGTTGTCGCCAGTGTAGCTGTGACGTCAATTGCGGCACCGCGTGCTGTCCAGACAGACCAGAGAGGTTTTTAAATGACAGCGAAGTGAATGAACTGAAAAGTATTCCTGAACAATGTGTGCTTGCTCAGGTACGAGAATTTGACTCTACAAAACTAAACGGGAAGTCGTTTAAAATGATCGGCCAGTGCCCGGAAAATTACTCAAATGAAAATGTGAGAGAAAAATGCTCGCAACACTACCATGATTTTGATTTTGAGAAAGGTGACTTTAAAACTCTGATGCCAGTTTCAGTTGAAACAGTTAATGTGACCTTTAGAAATTATTTCTGCGCTGTTTGTCATAATGCTTTAAACACAAAGCTTCAATTCTGGAACACAAAGGCAATATGCAAAAATAAGAGGAAATTGGGCCTAACGACTTTATCCGAAATTCCATCGAAACTTTCAGAAGAACCGTTTTGTCAAGTTATATTTGAACCTTCGTTTTCAGTTTCGAGAATTGGCGTAGAAGTTTGTGAGATAGAGAGATGTAACACAACTGGGAGATGGAAACAATATGACCGTAGTCTAGAGATTGCATGTCTGTCATATACGTCACAGTATAATGGCTATAAGAACATACACTGCTTCTTTTGTAATGGACATACGATCCAAGAAGCAACCACTTCGTGTTCACCTGATCGTTCTATGGTGGAAGATGAAGATTCTTTCGTTGATCTGTTAGACTTTTACGGTTTGATCAGCTCTGCGTTACACCAACAAGAAACAACTTGTTCCGGGACTTCAGTATATGACTCAGTTCAGGTTTGTCGGTCGTCTTCTAATTAAGGAAAGGCACATTCAGGTCCCTTTCCCGTTTTTCAAAAACATTTTTTTGATGTCATGTTACAGTTTCCAAAAGGTTACAAAATTGACTAGACAGCTGAACCATTTATTGTTTCTTTTGCATTTTCGAATAAAGTAGTTTTTCGTGAAAAAGTATTTTGTATACAGGTCAAAAACACCTTTTATATAGCTCTATATGCCGACGCTTTACAACGCTAGAATGTCTTCTTTTTTGATATAATTTCAGGAAGAATGTAGGCAGCTGTTTTGTGCGACCGGCTTTATGCTGATTGGGAACAAATGTATCCTACAGTACTCGGACAAGGTCTATCTTGATCACAGCATTGTATTCAATCTCCGAATTAGCTTAATACCGTCGTATATTGCACGAAATGGAGATTTTGAACTTTTAATGCAAATCATGAAATCGTTTTATAATGATTTAAGATCAAACCTGGACTTTATCCAAACAGCAGACGATGCCAAATTATGTGCCATGAACGCTTATTTGAAATTGAACGATAGTCTTGAAGAAGTAATAATGTCTATGAAACTTCACAAGCTTGCTGATTTTGTACAGTTCATCTCACATATTTCTTTACAAGTTGATTTGAGCATCAAAGGAATAGCCAATATTTCTAAAGTCGTAGAAGAGCTGGCAATGCTGTATACATCAAACGACTTCCACGGACAATATCATATTCAATACCCAATAGATGATAAAGAACTGCCAACAAAACTCAACATCAGTTTAAGAGACGAATATATCAAGTATTTAGATGATATCAATATACAGCCTTTGCAATACATAATGCTTTTAAATGGTATGAGTGACGTTGATGATGGATTAGGTATTTTATGGTTTGAGGGTGAAGATCTCTCACCAATGCAAAGCTGCGAGTCCGCTGTTAGTGTTCAACATAATCCGTTTTGTCCAAGATTAGAACTTGACCACAGACAATTCGTAATAGATATCGTAAACAAACGGTTAACAAGTGTTCGATATAGCGAATATCTACCTGAGTCCCCACGTTATATCACATTTACCATGATGCTGACAACCGGAAACGGTGTCAGTGTGATTGTTTGTGCTGACGAGTACTTTAACCAGTTATACACGATGAAAGAAAAATATTCAGTTGATGACGAATTTGAAGTGTTGTCAGTTATTTGCCTCGGTTGTTCTGCGCTATCACTTGCGCTGACATTTGTTATTTATTGTATTCTCCCGAATTTAAGAACTCTTCCAGGATTGAATACAATGTCTCTCGTATTACACCTTTTCTTTGCACACACTTTAATGTTTGTTACTAGTACGTTTGACGTCACACTCTCGCGGCTGTGTTCTATTATTGCAGTCATTATACATTATAATCTTCTGGCAAGTTTCTTTTGGATGTTTATCTGCACCTTCCACATGTTAAAAGTTTTTATAAAGATAAATGAAAAAAATTCTTTTGCACATACTAAAAGCATATTTGTCAAGTATCTTGTATTCACAGAGACTACTTCAGTCATTTTCATCATATGCAACATCATTGTTGCCATTGTGGTATTTGATGATTCGGCAGACTTCGGCTATGGTGGTTCATTATGCTTTCTGAAATATGATTATCTAGATCTATTAGTTTATTTTTTTGTCGCCCCGCTATTTTGTGTTCTGCTTGCTAATATAGGAATGTTTTCTTACGTCATGTGGCGCGTGGTCCGTCTGCCTGATATGTCGGATTGCAGCAACAAAGAGCGGCATACTGTTCTTATTTTTGCGAAATTATCTTCTCTAACAGGCATCACTTGGATTTTAGGTTTCTTTCCGGAACCCATGATAATTAAATATGCCTTTATGATATTTAGCGGTGGACAAGGTGTTTTTATCATGTTGTCATTCGTTCTTAACAAGCGCGTTTTCAATATGCTGCGTTCACATTTCAAGAAAACAAAACAAGAGGTTAATATAAATGACGTCAAAACTCGTACAGTTTCTCTTACCGTTTCTAATGGTAACGGGAAGATAGTCCACACCGGATGAAATATTCATGATTAGATAAATGTAGATCTCCTTGCTATAACTCTATACATAGATATATATCAACTGTAACATTCTTGTTACAAAATTATCTTTTCATGACTTGGCTCTACACGGGTTTCTTACATAACATTTGTGTATCGATATTTAAACCCTCTTATTATCTTATTTATCAAATAGTAACTATTGTATTGCAAATTATGTTACAGCTTTATGTATTGTGTTAAATGTATGGTATATCAATGATTCAATATTACATTTTTGATAAATAGCATGATGCTTATGCTGTTAGGCTTGTCAGCCAGAACTTGTGAAAGATAAATATGTTTTTTCCTTCAAATGGTGATAATTAATTTTAGATTTGTTTAATTTTGAAACGCACTTAAGTGTATATATTCTACTGTTTTAAAGTCGATCATCATACATATATTAATACTATGATCAAGTATATAGATGTATCAATATTGGTAAATGACGTGTAAACAATGCATTTATCATCTTGACCTTGCACTGTCCGAATTGATGGACGTTTCTGATAGATTACATATGAACAGCTTTATCTACAGGTTGTGGGTCCGGTACACTAGTCTACGACGACAAATGGAAGAAACACGTTGTCTTTACTGTCGAACATAGTCCGCTGACATTGTACAGTTCGAATCATCTGTGCGCCTCAAATAATTCCGGGTGACAACCATATTAAATAATAAATAAAAAGAAAATTAAGACAAACTTTGTTGTTTCTTGAATGTTTTATCTGCCAGTTCCAGTATCAAACTGCACTGAAGATGATGCTATGTTTGAGATTCAATTACAAGGAAGTTGCCTAAAAATATAGTTCGTATCCATATGCAAATTTTGAAATTTTTCAAAAATTTAATCGTTACACTTAAGTTGCAACAATTAATTGCATTGAGATGGAATGCCTGGGATGGTAAAGAAAAGCTACAGACCTTTCTAAAGAATCATCAAAGTTTAATTAAATATCAACTTATACATGTTATAAGGATTCTGAAAGACGACGGTGCACTGGACTCGTGATATCTTTTGTCTACCTATACGTGAATATATTGTCATTAGTTTAGCATATTAATGTCTTTATTATAAAAAAGCTGCTTGCCTCCAGATTTTTGAAAATGTATCATTACCCTTCCAACCTCTCATGTATGCCTTAACACAGTAGTTGAATCTCTTACTCATGATCTTTTAAATGCCAACAAATTGTGTGATTTGAATCGCATGTCTATCAATGCTAACAAAACTAAGGTCATGTATATTTCCTCAAAACACAAGCAAAATTATATTTATGAAAGTAGTCCTTATATTTCATAGACAAAGATTATGATTGCTGAACTTGTTTCTGAACTCCGCTGGATGACCTTTTCAAAAAGGGGTGTATTTCAAAAAGCTATTATGATGTTTAAAATAATAAATAACCAGGCTCCTTCCTATTTATTGAATAATTTCATTTTATCGTCAGATGTTCATACTCGCATTTTGCGTTCATCATCTGATTTTCAACTTTATACTTCTAGACTAAATACTGAACAATTTCGTAAGTCTTTTGTTTATTCTGGATCTTGTATTTGGAACGACCTTCCTGATTATATTAAGTCTGCTACATCTGTGAACCATTTTAAAACCTTATACTTGAAATATTATCACACACTGATGTATACAAATTGATAATCCCCTGTATGTATTTACATTTATGTATTTTAATAGTTTGAATATGTTTTTATATTGTTCCCTGTTGAGGGCCTAATGGAAGATTGATACGTTTGTTCTAATGAGTTCTCTTGTTAAATAAAGTCTTTATTATCATTATTATTATTATTATTATTATTATTATTATTATTATTAATTTACATGTTGAAAACGGTGCTAACAATCCGCGAAAATTTCCGAAAAAGAAATCAAAATATGCAAAAATTGTCCTTACTGCGTAAGTGACGCAGTAAACTTATGATGAATAATACTGCAAAATCATTCATTAGTCGAAAATAACATGTTAATTATTACTTAAATCATAAATCTTTTACATTCCTTAAAATCTTAGTACATATTTCTCAAGTTTGATTTTCTTGAATTATTTTTTCTCATCTGGAGGTATGCTGCTTTAATTTTTTGATTTCCTTAGAACACATCACTTTGAAATATTTGTGAAAGAAAATAGAGTTGTTCTAAATTGCTTATTAAATACTGTTCTGTTTCATTAAATAAAAGATTTTCACTTCGTACGCAATTGAACCTAATAAAGACATGTTTGTGTAATTTTAGTAAAATGACGCATAGAAGCAAAAAAGAATTAGAGCTTTACAAGACAGGTGTTGGGAATTTAATTGGCCGTATGTGACCTGAATTAATATAATATCAATACTTGAACAATCTTTATCGATTACAAGATGACGTCAGTTACCCCGGTACCATGAGACATGTGAAAGCATTTATCTGATAATCAATATATCATATTGAAAAGACTTTTTATATCAATTCACCACGCTGCGGTTATAATGCCATGGCTCCGGCGTTCTTGGCTTCCGATAGACAACAATAAGTCTTTGAAAATGTCTCCTGAAATAATCCGCTTCAGTTATATTCTTTATCAAAACATGGACACAAAATTTTAAGCTAGAAAAACACGAAAAAGGGCCATATGATCAACTTTTCATATATTAGAACGATAATAATATTAAAGTCAGAGTTTGGAAACTTTATTTCTTTATTCTGTCCTCGTCAATTCCAAATGTTTTAGTGGGAAAACTCGTCGTACCTGACAGTCATCGTCAAGGGCGGTAAAAGACTATGATTCTTATATCATTCTTTATTACATTATAAATAGCGTTCTTATCATATAGAAGGAGAACTAATCTCATATCAAACATGTAAAAAAAAAGAAAAAAGCTACTAAGCTAGTGATTATTGAAACGTACAGAAGAAAAAGAACCTTGCATTAATAAAAAACAAAAACAAATATAATATGATTCCGCATACATTGTTTTTATAATTGCACTAATATAATGCTTGATATTGACATTTTATTTTACATCATATAATTTTAAACCATAAATTATGGACCTCGTCAATATTATTATAACTTTTATCCCGACTAATCCGCAGTGGGACCCCTACCTTCATTCAATTATTTATATTTATAGACCAGCCTCTCTTATCAATGTAAAAGCATTATTTAAACAAATAAATTCTAGTCCACTAATCGATTGTCCGCTATTGAATTGTATTAGCTTTAGATAGACGTATGAAAATTTCAATACATACCCGGCGGATCGTTAGTTCGCCCAGCATTGTGCTTGTATCGATCTCTTGATGAACAATCAATGTTCTGCTGCTTTTGGTTTTAACTTTAACAATAAATTTTTAATGGGTGTTCATTCGAATAGAAAACTTATTGATTTCTGCAAAACATTTCTGTGAAATATGGTTCACTTGACATATTGATGTTAAATATTTATTGATAGCGGACCGCGTTGTGCGACAACTAAATGTGAACATTATAAGAAACGGATTTTAATTAATTTTCTTTATTTTGTAATGTGATTATACGACAAAAATTGGTATATATGTGAACAGGTATTCTTAGATTGGACTAGGCCAAGTGTTAACAGGTAAATCCCTTACTGTTTACTCGGAATTTGTATAATATAAATATATAGAAATGTATTCCAATTCAAACCAGTAATATATCGCAATCACATTATTTATTATTCTAGTTCTTTTTTTATAGGATGATGTTTTATACCCATTATAATAGTTTGTTTACATGAGAGAGCGCAGAAATTAATAAATTCTAGGATGGTCGGTATAAAATCATCCAAGAATGATAAATTATTCATTTAACCAATAGAACAGAAATACATGAATGATCGCTAGACAAATTCTTGGTAAATTATTTTGCTTTCCTTACATAGCGCTAATTATTTTTCTACAATTTCAAATAAAGAAAAACGATATATTCTGCAGAAATGCTAGTGAATTTGATTTTTGATCTGATCTTTGATATATTGCAAATTCAAAATACTAATATTTTGCAGCGAACTACACGCAGTCGTACAGGTCTATACAAAGCATAATTGCTGCGTGCGCACATAGAATTTGATTAGAATGAATGCTAATTCATGTTATATAGTTGAATTCCTAAGCATAAATAATTATTAAGCAAATCACCATTGAACATTTGACATAAATTTGTTAAAATGTTAGTCAAATCCTCTCTCTACTCCTTGTAATGCACCATGCAGCTATTCTCAACATATCCAGGAAGTTTTCTCATATATAAACATATAATAAACCAAAATATCAAACCGTTTGATAACAATAGCTGATATGATTTACTCCTGACTAACAAAAGAATATTATAATGTACTATATACTCTAGCGGTAATAATTTACTCCCTAGTAATTTTACACATTTCAGAACAAGCGAAGTACCCTCCATCAATTGTTTACCTTTTTGAATTTCCGTGATAAGAGACTGTTAGTTGGCCCATGATGAATTATAATGTTTAACTTTACTTTTTACTTCACCTCGTCGATGGATTGTGTGTTTTTATTTATTTAAGATACTTTCAACTAGTTCATACCTCTAAAACGGGGACGTCAACACAAATAAATATGGGTGCAGATGCAGACGATGAGAAAAATAAGGATGGATGCTGTAAAATGTTCTGGAAGTTTATGTTCTCACATATCGGACTCTGTGCTATGGTGGTGTTATACTGCGTGGCGGGAGGTTTCATCTTTGAGCATCTAGAGAAGGCGAATGAAGAGGAAGTTTGTTTTGAATCGCGGAATGAATATATTCCCATGCAAGATAAAACTCTGGAGAACCTTAAAAAAGTTATTCTAGAGAACAATCTCAATACAGATGCTATGATGATACAAATGACATCGATACTACAGGTACGTTATTTTAAATGACCTCTGTATTACAGGTACGTTATTATAAATGACCTCAGTATTACAGGTACGGAGATATATTACAGGCTCGGTGTTACAAATGACCTCAGTATTACAGGTACGTTATTACAAATGACCTCAGTATTACAGGTACGTTATTACAAATGACCTCAGTATTACAGGTACGTTATTACAAATGACCTCAGTATAACAGGTACGTTATTACAAATGACCTCAGTAATACAGGTACGGAGATATATTACAGGCTCGGTGTTACAAATGACCTCAGGCTCGGTGTTATAAATGCTCTCAATATTTCCGGAAAGTTCATACAAATGACGAACATATCACAGGTACGCTGCCATAAATGACCTAAATTAACAGATACGTTGATATACATGACCTAAATATAACAGATACGTTGATATACATGATCTCAGTATCACAGATACGTTGCTAAACATATATAAATGACCAATATATCACAATACGTTGTTAATAATGACCTAGATATAACAGATACGTTGATATAAATGACTTCAGTATTACTCGTACAATCATGCAAATGACCTGTATAAAATTGGTATACATGTATTATGTTAATATGTTGTAGGCTGGAGGTAATCTTATATATTGCTTTGTGTTTAATAACTGTTGTTGCCGTTATGTTGTTTGTTTGTTTGTTGTTGTTTTTCGTATTAAAAAAAATGTCAGTAGATTTCAATTCAATTCAATATTTTATTAGGCATATAAACATTATATACAGTTTTTTTTGCCTAAATGAATATATTAGGCGGCAACAAATATCATGAGAAGAGTATGTTATATACAAAGAATGATGATAAATGTCAATTATAATATATATGTATATGGAAACACTCATATTTATACATTTCAATTCGATAGCACATAAATTTATTTGCAAGTGACTACTACATTGTCCGATAAAATATTCCGATTACTGGGTCGTATAATTATAAACATGTATAATACAAGATCGGTACATGTTATCAGGCCACACAAACAAAATTATGTGCTTTACATGCAAAAAAAAGTAATACAGTATTACATTCGAACTAATATAAATCTAATCAGTAAACGCAGTGCGTTTTGTATTTGCTAAATATATAAATTTTGCTAACTTATTTAAAACATTCGACTGTTGTGTAGTTAACAAAGTTTTAAATTTCTGAGACGTTGGCCAATGGCAATAATATTTAGGGAGACATGCATTTCTTATATTTCGATAATGCGGGCACACAAGAACAAAATGATATTCATTTTCAATAGCATTCATTTTACAATATATACATTTTCTATCTTCTCTTACAACATTTCTGAAACGACCTTCTTCAATTGCAAGTCTATGGGATGAACATCTTAATCTAGTCAATGCAATACGATAAACCTCAGTTTTGACACACGTCAAATATTTTTCAAATCCAATGCAATCTTTTATAATTTTATAGGTACTCAGTTTTGGCATTGTATCAATCATTGAGTATAAATCTTGATAATATTGACTATACAATCTTTCGATCACAGCATTTAATTGATATTGAGAAATGCTAATACAATTCCATAAATATGCAAAACCTAAGTTTTCTAGTAATGATTTAACAAATAATGCCCAAGAATCCTTAACATTGTTATGCTAACTATCTATAAAACTTTTGTGCACCATTGTATTTGGAGAATTCACAATTTTACACCAATATTTAAGAATACGTTCTTTCCTAATTATATCTAATGGTACTTTACCAAGTTCAGCATATACAGTAATGTTAGTGGTTTGCTGTCTAACATGCAATATCTGTTTAAGAAATCTTATGTACACTTTTTCACTTTTTTTATGGAATCCCCATATTTCACATCCATAGTTTAAAATTGGCAGAACATCAGTCATTTCTGTCTTACGTTATAAAGAATATGAAGTAGTGTTTATTTTCTCAAATGAAACATTTATAAAATTGTCAAAGTATTTTAACAATCAGATAAGAAATATACATTTTTTATATGCATATATAGTGATTTTTGAGACATTAATATTATTATTGTTAGTGGCCTCGTGGGTTTGAATAGGAATTGATTAAAACAAAAAGATCAGTGAAAATTGTGCCAGATGTATTTCATCAATATTTTTCTATTGTTCTTATCAGTTTATCTTAGGGGAAGAAATGATGATACGACATTGTTTAAGTTCGATTGTGCCGGAAGCTCTGAGCTTTTTGAAACACTTTCGAATCCGCTCCTGGAACCAACCAGTACTAAGCAATGAATGTAAATTTTCTTTCTCGTGGAAACAAAGGCTTGCCCCTGACGGGATTTGAAACCGAGCGGCCAGATTATTAGTCAGACGCGTTAACCATTCGACCATGCCGCTGCTAACAATAACTAGATTATCGTAACTAAGTATAACTCATCATAAAAGAAGATTATACAGTCACGTGGGAATTAAAAAACATTTCTCAAAATTGTTTGGATGAATGTAGCAGTGCCCAAAAACTTTTTTGTTGACCATATTCTTGTTTCTTTATTTATTTTGGCTCTTAGTTAGAATAAAGTGACTTAGTATTTTGTAAAGAAATCAATAAGCCACTTTGTTTACGTTTCGCTACTTATATGATAATCTATTTTATATTATATGACAATCTATTTTATATTATATGACAACCTATTTTATATTATATGATAATCTATTTTACATTTAGCAACACTTTCTTACAATGATAAGCATCTGCCATGCTCTTAATCAATTTCATAAACAGTTTAAAATATATATTTGCCCTTTCATTTAAGAAGAAAAAAATGCATTGTAAGAATGAATTTTAGTGTTTTTTGTTTTTGTTTTGTTTTTTGTTTGTTTGTTTGTAAATTTGCACTGGAGATCAGTTTTTCTTTCTTGATATTGCAGACATTTCGGAACAACTCTTTGGCCATTGGATATGACGGACGTAATTGTGACTGCTATGGCGCGCCGAATTGTCCGGTGTATGAATGGTCCTGGCCTGGGGCTTTAATGTTCTCAGTCACAGTAATAACTACAATAGGTAAAATATTTATTGATTTATATTTACACAATAGCAAACAACATACATATCACAGTATATAACTTAGATGAACATGTATTTTTTTCATTATTTACACATACCTACTTGTGTTTTAAATATCAATGGCTCAAACACGTTGTACATGACAAGAGCTATCTGGTAGACAGCGTACTTGCCGACTATTTAGTATTGTCAGCACTTGCTACTGAAAGAAGGAACATGAAATTCAGAAAGCGGAAAAATTGTTCGAAAATTAATCATAGAGCTATCTTTAGCAACCTTGATGAATTGTTAAAGTTTAACTTGTGCAGGAAGTATAATTCTGTAGAAAATCAATGGCAGAGTTATTGGTCTTAGACAGTCTCAGCTTGCGGCGTGCACATATAGCCAAAATTACATAGCCAATATGAAATCATCTAATTCATTACATCTAATACATGTTGACTTATGAAGTTAAGTTATTAGAGGCCAAGTATAAGTAAATGCTACAGCAATTTTATCTAAAATGCTAGCAACATTTTGTTTTTATACTACTATTTATGGTTTGAGTTAGGCTATATTAATTTTGCAAATGTGAAAAAATACAACAAAAACACCAAACAATTTTCATATTTCATAAGACCAAGTCTAATTTCAACTCTTCCAATACACATTCAATATCGTGAATTACCATTTGTGACTGAAAAATGACCAGTCTTATATTTAATCTGGTCATAAATGGTCTGAAAATAAAGATTTATATAGATCCGGTTTTTTTGAAAGTTCAGAAATATCAGTTTTGAACATTTAGTTTATTTTATTTCAGGATATGGTCACATTGCACCTAAAACATTCTGGGGTCGACTGGTATGCATTGCGTATTCTGTGCTTGGAATTCCCCTTATGCTTTTATGTCTCGCGAATATAGGTGATATTCTAGCAGATATATTTAGGTTTATTTATGCCAAGATATGCTGCTGCGGTTGTTGCAAAAGGAAATCAAAGAACAAGGTACACAAAATATACAAACATTTTACATTATATTTATTCAGTCCTATATTTTCAAAACATTGACTATACATGTGTTATAATTATTATTAGGCCATGAGAAAAAGACATGTTTGTAAAGTGGCACAAAGCAGACTGTTTAAATTATTAATTCGTTTTACCAGTAGAAAAATATCTAAGGTCTATTTAAAAAGTCAGGGACAGACGCACTACAAAGTTTATTATACTGGTCGATAAAGTACAAGAAAAAAGGTACCATATTTTGTCAGACTTATGGCCTTTGTGTCCAGCTCAAGTATAATGTCGTTCAAATTTTATAATTCAAATATGTTTATATTGATTGATTTTCTGAAATATTGACAGCCAAATGTTAGGTCTTTAAGACATTTCTTTGTGAAAATATATGCAAAAAAAACTTATTTTTTAAAAGAAAAGTTGTCAGAGTATTAAGTGAATCCAAATAGCTCAAGCTAATATGTTAATTTGAATGCTGGAAAAACAAGAACAATGTTTGATCATTGTACCTTTATTGTTATCTTAAATTAAGGTTGTTCAGATTAAACCCAACTCACAAGAACCGGACTCTGCATGGAACGACCGCGCAAAGATTATTCCAAACGCACAAGCGCCTATCAACACAGAATTCCACAAAGTACCATCTAAATCACAGGTGTGTTGATCGATAAAATAATGTAACATCAAATGAGAAATTTGAACCTTAATGCAAACGATCGGTTCATCTTGTCGGACTATTGATGCATTGCACTATTGTTGTAATAAATATGTTATTGATTATCTCTTTATTTTAATTGGTTTTAATGCAAGATCACAAAAAGATAACTTCTTTCTGTTTATTATTAATTATATCATTATTAACAAAGGCTTATTACTGTGGTAAAATCACTTACTCTCTGCCAACACTTTTTAACATATAAGAATAAATGATCCCGAAGGACAAGAAAATGTTACAACATTAACATGAAGTTGTTGTAACCTTTTATACCCGCACTTTTCACCTGCTGTTGTTCAATAAGGAGAGGTCCCGCAAGTATATTGATCAAGCACTTGTATTTCCTCTAGAAGATTTTACTCGGCCACATTTCTTTATACATTCCCTAAAAAACAGCCGTAAAACCGACATTCTAATTTTTGGTTATTGCATTGATATTATCTGATTCTTGACACAGATTCTGTATGTCCTCTATATTTACACATCAGTTTATATGAATATAATATGAATATATTTATATAATTCTCATAAATTCAAGGATGACTCGACAAAACCCAAAATCATGCCTTTGGATATCAAGACATTGAACAAAGCGGAACTTGCAAATAGGAATCAGGCGATTAGGAACCAGCCTATGATACTTGATGATGATAGTGATGATGAAGATGATGATATTGATGAGAAGAAAGTCACTGTACCTCTTACAGTGACAATGGTTGTCATTGCAGGTAAATTGCTCACGGAGGAAGTTCTAAATCGGATTCATGTTAACAATATTTTCATTTTTTTTTAAATCATCGCGATTTGTAAACACTACAGTAAAATGTATCATTTGTTTAGTTGACTAATGTATTTCTGGTCCACGTAAGTACTTTCCAAGCTATTATAAGGACAACTGAGGTAACCAGCAAAACCATTTAGTTCACGTAACGTTACATTATCTACTTTTCCTGTCAAATCTGGAACACTTGTTTCTTTCGTGTTGATAAGCATTGCATTTCCTCAATTATGTTGGGTGATGTTACATTTAAGAAAAACTTTATGACTAAAAACTAAATGACTAAACTGTTATAATTTTCATTTATGATATTGTTTTATTCTAAAAATATACTAAGGTAATACATGCAACACAACAGTTCATAATTTAATAATTTTCTGTACAATATTTCCTGCGATATGAAACTCATTTATTCAAATAAACTGACAGGCTACATATTTGGAGGAGCTGTGTTGTTTGGTCTATGGGAAGGATGGGACAACTTACAATCGGCATATTTCTGTTTTGTCACATTAAGCACGATAGGGTTCGGAGATGTTGTGCCGGGTACCGACTTTGATAATCCGCAGGCGTCCGCCCAGCTCATTCTCGGAGCTATATATGTTCTCTTTGGTATGTATCTATACATTTTTTAAGTATTTGTAATGATTAATACTTATTATGATGTAAGCATTTGCTCAAGCTGTTCTTTTGATATGTGTTAATTTGCTCTTGTGTAACATTCTTGCGTAATGTTACATTTTCTCGAATGATCATAAACATAACATTTCTTAATTTAAAATATTTAGAATTACCACAAATCTTGCATTACAAAATGTTACATTTTATGAATGATCTCATATATAACAATGTTTAATGCTACATGTTTGGAATGATCACATACAAAATTGTGGAATGGAACATTTTAAAATGGTTCACATATAAAACATTGCCGAATGTATTATTTTTAGAATGATCACTAATGAACAACATACATACCAACGTTCTAGTCCGTTTTTGATATCATCAAATTGACTTGTCATATAGGTCAATAAGGAAAATGTTGTCCTGTTTCGTCTCGAACGAGTTTGGTATTAAAACCTGGTGGGGCTTTATGGACATTATTCTTTGTAAAATAAATGCACTGCAGCAAATATTGATGCATCACACGGTTTTAACTTACAAGCCGTAGGTTTAAAACGTGTTTACATTTTTGTGTGAAGAATATACTCTTACTTGTGATGTCTTTTTATACAGGGATGGCGATATTATCAATGTGTTTCGCCCTCATGCAAGACGAAATCATTGCAAAATGTACATGGGTTGGTCAAAAACTTGGAATAATGGACAAATCAGAGAATGATCTGTAAAAAGTTATATATTTCTACCATTTCATTTCAAATTCTGCTGAACCGCTGATGTCAAATGTTGTTTATTTGTTTGTTTGTTATTTGCATATTTAAGTAGAATTGTTTGTTTCCATGGAATCGATTTGTTCAGTGTTTATATGCTCTTTAATGTTTCCCTTTGTGTATGTTGAACAATGTTCCTTCATCATTGTGTTAGCAATTACCCAGTGCTACTTATTTGCATTTTAATAAAAATTCATTATTATTCATGGGCAGATATTGTAACATCTAAAAGACGGAAACTAATTAAGTCTCAAAGCTTTGGTGAAATTTTATATATATTTAAGGAAACATTCGGCATTGTTTATGTTATTGTACCATCTATAATCCTAATGTGAACTATATTTCGAGTGAGAGTAAATAACAAATTTAATAGCACAATATATGGCTTACTTTTCACATTTACAAACCTTTCAATTTGTTCACGATACCATATCAGCAAATATCCTGATAAATGTTACGTATAACTGGAAACTTTATGATTCATTTTCAAATTTGTAAATTTTTGTAGCGTCTCTAGACAGAACATTTTATATACATCATTAATTTACGCTTTCGTGAGGCAATCTTTTTTCTAAAGAAAGTCCAGCTCAAACTGTTTTCGGCTTAAACGATTTGAGGACGGGGAGAAGAGGAGTTGTCTGTTGGATCACGTGATTGAGCTATTTTCTCGCTGCTGTTTCAATAAAATCGATCTTGAAGTACATGTTAGTTATGAAAGTTGAATTACCTTGATATTTTGTTTTAAAGATAGATTGGTGTTGTTAAGGGTATAATCAATTGATAACAGCAATAGAAGTTTGATACGGAATGTAAGCAATACTGATTCTTGACAGTGTTTTTAATTTTTTATTCTTTTTATTTTACGACGTTTGTAATTGATTGATACTTGCTAAAGATTGGCTGAAATATGCCTTTCTTTTCAATTTAAGTTTTGAACTTGATGAATTACAGACTAATGATACTTTTTTATCATTATTGTACATAAATATTTCATTACTAGCACAAATTCATCTACAAATAGTCCCGAGAACCATGTATTTACATCCCCTTAGATTGTCTTTTTCGCATGCAGTTCTGAATTTTTCTATGAAATTCTAACCTGTCATATAAATTTGTCACATGTATTTACAATAAATTTATCATGTTACGTTTGAGCTGTTACATTTTTAGTGGCATTTATAGTGACATTCTGTATCATTATCTTCCTGATTGCTATGGAAACATTTCGGCTAAAACGAATTATTATTTTTATTAGTTCATTTTCAGTTTGTTTCTTATGTGATCACTTGTGTAAAACATAAACAATTTATTGTCTTAAATAAAAATTTCCTTTAGATATTGACAAGGTTTGCTTGCATTAAATATTACTCATCAAGTTTAGAAGTTAAAAAGTTTTGCATACAGTGTCAACGTTTATTTTGCATTATAGAATCCAATTGTAGACACATCAGTTGTTTGTTACATATTCTTAATTTAGTAACTACATTTTAAGTCTAATAAAAACGAGCATTGAATTCCATTCCACTCGAAATATGTCAGTACAGTGATACTGTAAAAAAGGTACACGTATGTAAAAGAATGTAAAAATATGATATATTGAGAATTAGTGAAGATAAAACAATGCGACTAATAAAAATAAGATTATATTAATAAAACGCTTAAAATGATTTGAACATGGACATAGCATACTGTAATTTGCAGAAGAGATAATTTTTAAATATTTTAACATTTTCAGCATATTTTTTTCATCATGGAAACAGGTTTTTTTTGTTAGTGATATATCAATATATACATGTATTTTACCTGAATAAACGAATTATTTTCATACCTATGAAGAGATACTTTTTCGGTGTTTTTTTAAACAGAAACCGTCCAATGAATGTATATATTTTTTCTTAATACTTAACTATGTTATGTTGTTATTTCATTTTTCATGTCAATCTGTGATACATATTTTTCTTAATAAAGTTTTAGATCTACTTTTATATTATTATATGTTCTACCTCTGATTACCAAATAATCTTTAATAAAAACAGTGGCACTTTAATTATCAAACACAGAATCGGGCATTTAGAAACATTGTTTACAAAAGAAGGATATTATACCATGTTTGATTTAGGTCAATGTTAGTGTAAACATGACTTTAGAATTAACGACAAAATGAAGAGAACTCAAAATCGATATACTTTAAGTTCAGTGTTTATTTTCTCAATGAATCGTTAAAATTGATATTATGAAGAAAGGAATTTCTATATAATTATTTTTGTTGTTCAAAGAGAAAGTAACGTCAATGTCGATTTTTTACGTATGATTTCAAATTTGTGCATTTCTATGACTAAATTACGCCTGTCTTCCAATATTTAACGCGAATATTGTCATTTTAAGAACGCACTGCACACTACATGAGAAAATCAAGACGTTAAATTAATTAAATTTCGCTAGTATATAGAATATAGATGTACATTGTCAAAAAGTTCAAATAATAGGGTGGGTGATTACGTGCCATTTGTTTACGGTAACATTGTGTCACCGCTCTGTTTTTTTGCTATGTTTCGTTGCATCTGTCAATATTTTAATAATAAACATAGATTCCAATGGTTCATATATTTTAAATATTGCTCTAGCACTTAGCAGAAATTGTGACACAAATTTTCATCAAAATAGATGCATAGAAACATTTCTAGAAGTACAAGAGTTAAATTGGAAAAGTATGTTTCATTGGAATCGGAAAATATTACCGTTAACAAATGTAACGTTATCACCCTGTCCTGGAAGTCGACAATTATCGCAGTTTACAATTTAAGCTGGACTCAACAGCACCTCTACTAAACGGTGCATCTTTCACTCTGTGTGTTGAGTCAAAGGGCAGGTAACGATCATGTTCCATGCACGATAAAGTGGACAGACATTTACTTTACGATAAAAAAACCACTTAAGATGTGTATCAACGAAAGAAAACACACAAGTAAGTACCGCTTATAACGAACTCATTGGGACATTCAAAATCTGTTCCTGATATCCGGAGTTCCTTGTTAGCATATAGCGAATTAGTTCCTTGTATCAGGAGTTTCTTATAGCGAACTGATTTACATATAACAAACTTATTGTTTACCATCATCCTCCATTTTGAAGAGCATTTGAATAAGATGATTCCGCATTGTCAGCCATGTTTGTTTTCGCTAAGTGGGTCCAAAGTGTAAGTAGGACAAAATTCATATAACAACACAGCTTACAATGTAAAATGATTAACTGTTTGCAAATACACTTCCAGGTCGGTCAAGTTTTAAGGATTATTGTAAAAAAAAGAAAAAAAAGTTAACAATAAGAATATTTGCCTTGCATGTGCTAATTCTCTGAAGACCAAGTACAATTCTTTTTGCAAAGTTTATGCACATTTCATGAATTGCAAAATCCAGTTTAAAGTCTGTTTTAGTGCAGACAAAAGCTTTCTTGCAGCAAATATAATTAACTTGCAAAAATTTAAATCTAGGTAAAGTAGTTTATCTGACCTTGATAAAAACATGACCTCCATGCTATGTGTAAAAAAGTAGTACCAGAGAAATAAACATATTTTATCTATTTCTTGTTTAATGACAGACAGATACACTTCACAGGTTAATTTTTAAAATTTGAATGCTGTTTTCATTTTAATTGTAGTTCATAAGGCTATAATTGGTGATTGTCTTCTTGCACTACTTTTTTACAAACAATAATGGAGGACATGTGCTTTGAAGGACATGAGATACTGCTTTATTTGGAATTAAGTTTTGCAAGTCTTCTTTGTATTTGTTGCAAAAATATATCATTTGCCTGCATTAAAACAGATTTTAAACTGGATTTTTCCATTCATGAAATGTTCAAAAAACTTTGCAAAAGATTGTACTTGGTCTTCAGAAATGCAACACATTCAAGGTAAATATTCTTATTGTAATCATTTTTATTTTTGTTTACATTAGTCCTTAAAACATAGACCTGGAAGTGTATTTGCAAATTGTTCATCATTTTACATTGTGAGCTTTGTTGTTATATGAATTTTGGCCAACTTTCACTTTGGACCTATTAAGCGAAAACAAACATGGCTGACAATGCGGAATCACCTTAAGAAAAATAACTTGTTTGGGTTCGTCATTGTTGTCATCCTTTCATTGGTTCAATAAAAAGAAAAAAAGAAGAAATAATTGCATTTTTTGAATATAATTTTGATATATAAATATATCTATAACATTATTATACGATATATACAATATTGTTATTTAATGACAATACAGTATCATTTAAAATAAGTTTCTTTTCATTTCAATCAAGCGTACGAGTACTTTGTGCTTTTCAATGGATTTTACTCAAGAAAACATATGCGTTATAATGTGGAAAACCGATTAAAAATAATCATAAATATTTTCCTCGAGCAAAACTATTAAAGAAAAGAAATGATGGAATAAAATGAATAATCGTTTTATCTTGGTGACAAGAACTCATACTTAAAATATTTAAAATAGAAAGCTATTGCCTACAGCTATTCAAATTAATTTTCATAGCTGTATTGAAGTACAAACAACAATAAACGGTACATTTTCCGAGTTTTTAATCCGTGCTTAAACGAAAGAGTAAATCCATTCACGGATAGCCGATATTTTGGAGTGTTATTTTCTGTACATGTACTTTTAACTTAATTGGGACTAAAAGTGAGTTCTTATAAGCGATAGTTCCTTATAACCATGTTCATTTTAAACGGTATTTTTATATTAAATAAAGAAGGGCAAAATTCGAGCCAAAAGAAAATTGTTCCTTCTAACCGGAAGTTCGCTATAACCGTGTCCGCTATAAGTGAAGTTTGGAACGTCAATATTGGGTATTTCGTATCAAAATTGCATCCAAAATGAGGAGAAAAATGTTCTTCTTGGCGTATCATTCTTCGATTTTATCAAAACAATCATACTCTTTAAAAAGACGAAACTGGGTTTACCTTTTTCAGCTTTGTTTTGGTCGAGGGCTCTACAACGGCAGTGTCGAGGGCTCTCATTTGATCAGACCACCAAAATGTGAAAGAGTCACCATTAAGTATGGGGTTAAATAGGGCATCGTGTAATTCACAGAGTATATTTAGATAACCAAATCCTCTATTTGAACCTGAACTATCATACTGCAAGTGACATATACATACTTTTTCATTGTCAAGTTCATCTGAATATAGACTTTATATTTCAAAAGACTGGCAGTTATAATGGTGATTGACCTACAATTGATATTGGAAAATGTTTACGATGAAATATAAATCTGCATTCAATATGAAAAGACTTCCCCAACCTTTTTATATATAACGTTACAGGTAGTTTCCGATGGATATTTATATAGAAATTTCCTTGGGCCACGTGAGTTATTTATCGTTCATGCGAAGTAAATTAAAGAACTATGGCAAAATGTAAATGAATTTACACTTACACCTATTCATTTACTATATTCTCTTGGAGGGCATAATTTCACTATTTAGCCAATCTGTAAGAAATAATGCAGTATATTTTTTATCAGTTTTACGCTTTATTGTATTATTTCAAACGTGGATGTTCCGAGCAAAATATCGCAAATTTCAAATGAAGAGGCGTGTTCGACCGTAAGTTAATTTGTTTTGTAAAAAAAAAAAAAAACATTTGTTTAGACATAATTGAAGTTCCCACTGCCGAATATAGAAGTGACAAATTGCATTTTTACACACAAAACATTTTGAACAATCACTTTCAGCTTCAAACAAATCAATCAATACATAATGTATTATGTTTAAAATAGATATTTCGCCAGTACGCATTGAGCGGAGCAAAATGGCAAAATACATATAATTAAAATCTGGACAAGGTGTTTACCGTGTCTGTATAATTTCTTGCAACGATACTGTATGATTAACTGCAAGTCTAGCACGTATTTAACTCTTAAGGACATAAAAGGCATCAGACCTACCAATTGCCATACTTTCGAACCATTTGAATATGTTCGGCCTCAAGGCCTTTACGTAAAACGTCATAACGTGCTTTAATATGAAAGGCAGCACAATGTCTATAGAGAACGTGACAAATCAATTATTGGTGTGCAGCAGCGAATTGATAAACCCGTTATTGGGTGTCCATAATTAATTGAGTGAAAGAAATGTACATTTAAATGTATATAGTGTAAAATTATATGACAGTATAGCAAATCTTATTCTTCCTTTTCATGAGAAAGAAGGACTATGTTGAAACTCACTAAGACATGACGATATATAAATTCATTTAGAAGTTCAAAGCATTCAGAATGTAAAGGCGCATACAATATCTTGATATTGAAAAGTTTGACTTTGATTTTAAGGGTAAAGTAACAGAAGACAGAAAACACTGTATGTTTTTGATCATTGAACAAACGAAGCAAAGTTTAGTAACAAAATGGCAAATATGTTATTCAATATCATACATTTTAGCTCAACTATAACATAATGTTATTCTTGCTTGTTTTAATATTTTTTTTCAAATTCTTCTCCCCTGTCAAATTGGACTTAGGAAAGTAGTGTAAGGGGAAGAAACTTCAGTCTATTTCAAGGTTAAATTGTCCGGTCAGTTATAGCCCGTTGCAAAGTAAAAGCAGACAACGTACTGTTTGTACGATTAATAGAACGAAGAAAGCGACCGTCAGAGAGCGATCTTGGGTTTTCATTGTTAAATAGTTTTGTGTGCAATTTTAACACCGAGGGATATAAGAAATGAATGATGATTCGACATCAGCAAGATTTATGCCAACGATTTTGTTTCTGAGAACTTTATACTAAGTTATTATCAATACATATTATCAATACATATTTTTTAGGATAAATCTGCTTTCGACCAAAGGGGTACGGCTCATTGAATGTACACAAAATATGTATTTGATGGTAGAAAAACATTTATCCTAAGTCAGAAATGAATTCTAAGTCCATATCCATTACACTATATACTTATATATAGACAAGGGTAACAACTCC